ATAACTTAGTTTGTTGACATTGGTCACCGTGAATGCTACACGGGCATGCTGTATGCCTGCAATGATCTCATCCGACCTGATCTTGTCCTGGAGCTCTCTTGGCGCAATGGCCTCAACGACTTCACCATGCCGTACATGATCAACATGCTCTCCCAGCAGACCAAGGAGCTTGCACTGCTCAAGGCCGATAACGAGTCACGCAAGTCCAAGGAGAAGGAGCAAGAGAAGACTGATGATAACACACCCATTCTGGGTGGTGCTAGACTCATGATCACCGCTGGACCTGGCGGAAATGCTGCTCCAGCACCATACGGCCAAGCTAACGGCTTTGCGCCCCAGCCCACTGGTTTCGCGCCCCAGCCCACTGGCTACAACTACTAGATGCAATTGCCAGTGTGGTTAACGCTAACGCACCATACTTAGTACAATCATATAATGCGTAATCTTTTCGCTGTGGCATAGCTAGCTGCAATGCAGCCTGGGTGGCCAAGTTCGAGCGAAGCATGGTGGGAGAGCTAGACGGGCAATATAGGACTGACGATGACGACGCGTGAGCTTTTTGTTTTTAAGGGGCTCCTTCATCGAGCTATAATGATGGATTAGAGGTACAAAAAAAAGAGTTCATCGTCTAGAAGGAGACGACGAACCTAGGGCTCGGAGTCTCGTAAGCCACGGATTCTTTTCTTCTTCTTTTTCCTTTGCAGTTAGAGTGGCGGAGGAGAAAACGTCTTTTCCATTTCTGAATTTCGGTGGAAGTGACGCGGGAAGGAAATTTGCTAGGCTGCGAATGTGTATGATAGGCAATTTAAAGTTTTGTTGTTATTTCTCGTGTCAGGCTTTGCGTGATTTATGTGATGTTGTGACTTATGCTTTGTATATCGGAAATGCTCGGGAGACGGAGTTCGAACCAGGCTTTATGAGCGAGTGAAGCACCTGCGGTTTAGCTTTCCAAGATGGACCATGCATATTCACAATTCAAATAGTCTTTATGGAATCATAGTCAGAGTTATTCATAGATCAATGCATTGTATTATACTGAAAGTAAGTCTACTACACCATGTTTCCAACAATGGCTGCTATGTTATTATACAAAAAGCATTTACGCCCCTATCCAAATCCCCCCCAAAAAGGAAAATAAACAATTAAAAAAGGGCACAGAATAGGACAGGGCGGGATTATAGCTATGTTCTATATTTTCTTGCTGTTTGGCTTGGGGTGGGCTGTCTTGAGCCATTCGCCGTTGAATGCATTGATGAGCCAGTTATTTAACTCTAAAAAAATTCAGTTATTAGCAAAGTCCCTTTTTTTTTTTTTTTTTTTTTTTTGGAAGATGTAAGCAACTCACTGTCGTATACAATGCGATTCGCGCCGTGAAAGTAAATGCCGTGGTCGCTGTCGGGGAAAACATGCACATCATAGTTTTCCACGCCCGCCAAGTCCAGGCTATCCAGCAAGGTGAGGGAATTCTGGAAATGCACATTGTCATCGGCGACGCCGTGCATCAGCAAAAAGCGCTTGTTCTCGCCTAGGGCCGTGGCATTGGAAATCTTGGACATGGCATAGCCCTTGTCGTTGTCCTGGGGAGTGCGCATATAGCGTTCGGTGTAGATGCTGTCGTAGAAGCGCCAGTCGGTAACGGGCGCGACGGCCATGCCGTAGGAGAATGTGCGGCCGGCGTCCTGCTCGAGCGTCTTGAGGGTGGTGAAGCCGCCGTAGGACCAGCCCCAGATGGCGAGGCGGGTCTCGTCGACGTAGTCGAGGGAGGCAAAATGGCGAGCGGCGGCGATGTGGTCGTGCGCCTCGAGGAGACCGAGCTGCGAGCGGACTGGCACGCGGTGCTTGCGACCGAGGAAGCCTGTGCCTCGGGGGTCTACGGTGATGACCAGGTAGCCGAGGTTGGAGGCGACGTAGGACTGGAAGTTGACTGAGAATCTCTTGGTGACTTCTTGCGAGCCGGGCCCGGAGTACTGCTGGAAGAGGATGGGGTACTTCTTGCTGGGGTCGAAATGGGGCGGGCGGCGTTCGAGGTAGTTGACGGTGACGCCGTCGTCGAGATCGAGCGTGCCGTATTTGAGAATGGGCAGTTCGTGCTTCTTGGCACGGTCGGCGAGCTCAGCATTGTCTTCAACAACGACTTCATACGAGATGTTGCTGGAGGGGGTTGAGATGACCTTTTGGTACGGGATTTTGGGTCCGCGATAGGAGAGGAGGGCAAAGCCCGCTCCAGACGAGAAGGAGGCGGAATAGTAGGCCTCGGCAGAAATGTTTGTGAGAGGCTTTAGGTCCGAGGCGTCCAGTTTGACAGAGTATACATGGCGCTGGATGGATGATTCCTTGGTGCCGACAAAGTAGACAAGGTTGTTGGCGAGATCGACGGCTGAAGGAGCATTGTCAACTTCCCACTCGCCAGAGGTGAGCATGATGGGCTTGGAGTTGCTCAGAGGCGTAAAGTATCCAATGTGTTCATAGCCCTCGTAAATCACCGTATCGACATAGCCATCCTCTGGTCGGCCATTGGCTGGGTCTGCAGGAACATAGGTCATTGAGTGTGAAATCTCAAACCAGCCGCCGTCAATCTTGTCGACGTCGATATTGTTGATGGTCTTGCCCTGGCGCTCATTCACATCGACGAGTATGACTTTCAAGTTGTCGCTGACGCGGTTGGTCTGCTTGACGAGGACACTGTCGCCAGCCCAGATGAGGCTGTTGATGATGCGATCATCGTCGGGGAACTCATCGCCGGTGCTGACCGAAAAAACGTCGCCTTTGGTGACATCGTAGAACTGGAGGTCTACAACGGGGTTGTGCGCGCCAGCTTTGGGGTACTTGATCTGCTGGACCTCCGGGTATGACTCCTCGCCACTCTGCGGTGGGTGGCCGCTGGGTCGCGAGACGAAGAACTGAACGGGATACTCCGGGACGCCGGTTTCGTTGGTCCGCAGGAAGGCCAGAAACTTTCCGTCATCAGACCACCAAGTAGCGCTGTTTCCAGAGAAGACCTCTTCCTCATACACCCAGTCAGGGATGCCGTAAAAGTACTCTGGGCCACCGTCCTTTGTAATCTGCACGATATCGTCGTCACCGGTGAGGCGGCGGATGAAGAGATTGTTATCCTTGGTAAAGGATATCGCATCGCTGCGAGGGCTCCAGCTTGCAAGCTGAACGCGAGCCTCTGTATCCAGCGGGATAAGGGGTTCTGCAGTCTGCGTCTCCACGTCCAAGACAAAGTAGACGGCTGTGAACGAATGCCTCCAGACGCTCTCTTTAGCAACGCCAATGAGCACCTTTTGCTGGTCCGGACTGGGTTGAAGCCACTGGGGAGTGTACGGTTTGCCTGCGTATTCGAACTGCTTCGTCTTCATGAGAGTGCGAGACTTGGCCAGCTGAGTATCCGCATCGCTTGCAGCAGTCGCGTCTCCTACCACTGACCGAACGTCCTCCACGACGAGATAGTCCTTGCCTGATACTCCCTGCTCGAGCAACAGGCCATCCTCGCCGTCGGGGCCTGCAATCCAGCTCAGCGATTTGCTCTCGCCAGACCAGTAGCGATCAAAGATCTGGTCCAGAGTCACCGGCTTGCCGGAGCCGCGAGAGTCGGCGTCGGGATCGTGCTCCACATCGCTGGCGTGCTTGTACGATCCCTTGGATACAAACACGGCGAGCGACGCGATCCAGGCAGCAGCGAAGACGGCGGCACAGATGAAGAGGATACGACGCAGCTTCCTGTCCATAGGCCTGCGCTGAAGGCCCGCGCCGGTCGAGCCAAGGAAGGCGGCGCTCTCGGTGTCATCGGCGGCTTCGTCCTTGAGGGGATCCTCGTCGTAGACGTCGGTGTAGCCAGGCCTGCCGCGGGCCTTTCGCGACGCTGTCCCTTTCTCCATTTCCTCTTGTATCCGATCGAAGACGATGCTGGTGGTTGAGACGGAAGAGAGAGACTCGGTCGATGGGGATCTCTTGAGCCCGTCAGCAGAGGACGGCGCCATGATGGAGACGGGCGACGAGCAAAGTCGCAGGGGTTACGTGGAAGGAGTCGTTTTTTTCGATATATCAGTCAGCCGGATCGCGTTCAGAGGCAGACTCGCAGCATCGTCTCGCAGCGATTGGCAGCAGCGTGGCCTCGAGATCACGATGCGGATACCAGCAATTCGGAAGCAGTCGATGAGCGAGAAGCGGTCAATTGCCGGTGTTGCTGTGCTGTGATTTCTGCAGGTATTGAGCGTTGAGGCAGGCTTATTGTCGACTGGATTGCGTGACGTGATTGGCGTAAGCTTCGATGCATGTGCTGTTAGTGCTGGTCTTACAGGGGCTTGTGCTCGGCCACGGGGCTGCATGTACTGCGCTAGCACTCACTGGAACCTGTGGCAGGAAGAAGCATACAGTCAGCAAGGCGAACAAACAATAAAGCATAAAGTCTGCCTCGAATTGGCCAATGGGAGTTGCATGCAGTCCTCCAGCCTCGTAATACTGCGGCAATCGTGGCAATCAATCTGTATATCATCTCATAGGTTGATGCTGATCCCACTCAAGGCTGCCAGATGCGAGTGGCACTGATGGCGTGTAAGTGGCCTGGTCTTACGGTGGAAACTCCACTGCCGGCCAATAAGGCCAGCATATGCCGAGGTGAGGCCTGCCAATGGTAGCCTAGGGATACCGTTGATTAACATGCATGCATCAGATGACGCCTTGTGCGCTGTATTGCCCGATCACCAGCAGCACCACATCACAACATTCACACATACACAAAATAAGGCGGCCGTCGTCTGCATGATGCAGCCGTCCAGCCTTGTATAATTCGCCGGCCGGGCTCTTAGTGGCTCCGCAGCGGGATCAACGCAGCTGTGGAACCAGGCCACCACACCAATCCCGCGTCTCCAGGCTTCGGATGATAGATGACAGACGATGGCAGCAGCTGAGAACAGGCGACTTGGGATGCGGCCGAGCGGCTATTGGCTGCAATGGGGGTGTGTATCATCCATCAATACGAATAACTTGTATGGGACGACTGCGCCAAAAAGGACTGGCGTTACCGAAAAAGATGCTATCGCGATAGTCTCGCTGCTACACACAGAGCCAAAAACAAGCCAAGGCTGTGGCGCAGGCGCATGTGTGCATGTACAAGAGACGAGACCGGGAAGAGCTTCGCTCAGCTCCCGCAGCTTGACCCTACCTACCTATACATAGAAACATTTGCCACATCTATTGCCTCCAGCCACGTTGGTTGGTTGCCCGCAGCCTTACGACAGCCGAACCGCTCACCCACGCTTCCCGGCTTCCCAGCTTCCCAGCTTCCCAGCTCCCCAACCTCAGACGACATCCTCGGCCGCTCTGCTAAGCGCCGGGCTCCAACTATCGTGTAGCCGCCTGCAGCTGTGGCGGCGATTGGGTGCTCTCATCTATCTTGACCACGCGGCAAGCCGTCCCATACGCCGCCGTCTGGGCGAAGCCCCCCATGTCGCCCGCATCGAATCTCAGACAGATGATGGCATTGCCACCGCGTTTCTTGCACTCCTCGACGACCCTGCCGATGGAGTCGTTGCGGCACGAGTACAGCATGGATGTGAACCACCGAAGCTCGCCGCCGGCCATACTCTTGAAGGCCATGCCCAGGCTGGCGCCGATGTTGCGCGACCGCACAGTAATGCCGTAGACTGTGCCGAGGACCTGCTCGATGCGGTAGCCCGGGAGATCCATCATGGCTACCACGAGGTGAAGAGCAAGATGCGTCATTAGCTTTCTCTTCTAGTGTAGATGCTTTGTGCAGCTATACAGACGCAGTGGCAATCTGTAGCCGCGCCTGCGCCTGCGCTTATGTCCCCCGTATATGCAGTTGAATGACTTACTCGTCGTGACAACGCCCTCTGTTTCGGTGAAACAATGCAGGTCCGTGAGATGCGGAGGGATGTCCGCAACCTCTTGGGGCTTCTGCTCCTTGGGCCTGCCGAACATGATGTAGATTGCTTTTGAGGAACTGGAATTTCGGATGAGGATGATGCAATGAGAATCAATTGATAGATGGCTCTCGGGATGTAGAATGAATGGGATGCTTGCTGTCAAGTTATTCTGAACACTCTCTTGGGCTTCTAGGCGAATTTAGCTCCTATTTATACTATTTGCAGCGTAGCTGACACAAACTTTTTTCCCAACGATGCATTCCCAATTCCCATATGGATCAACAGTGATCGTCTCAATCCAAATCCATCAAGAATCCCCCGCAATAGCCTGTTCCAGCTTTCCAAGCTTTCCCCTCAGAGATGATGAAATGGCTTGGAGTAGAACACGCTCCACGCGGCCGCTAACGCCAGCGCTCCATATTGCCCAATCCGCTCGTCCCAGCGTCTACAGCGCCACTTCCGCCCGCTACGGGACTAGCAGTAGTGGCTGGCAGATGCTGCTGCAGGGATCGGAGCCAGCCGTATTGCTCGCGTTCTGGCCTAGTGGCCGGCTAGCCCAGAGGACTGGAGCCATTGCCATGTACAGTAACACACAGGGGCGCGATATCCGGGGGTTTTTGAGCGGCGTTATGCATTGCCGTCGTCGGTATCACCAAGAGGCGCCTGCCGGAGGGGAGGTGATGGTGCGGGTTGCTGAAGAGCATATGAAGAATAGCGTCTTGGTCATTCTATATTTGGAACATCTAGACGCAGAGTCGCTTAAGTGACTCTATTCTGTCTGCTTGAGTCTGCATCATACCAGAGCTCGAGGGTCATGCTGCATAGCTAGACGCGGGCGGTAAGATGCTCATTGTAGGCCATGGCAGATCAATTGATGGCTTCGTCACACCCACCGCTGCATGTGAGCGCCATTGAGGTCAATGGAATCTGTACCTGGCAGGCTGTGGGTTGCTCAACTTGGACGTCATAAGTAAAGGAGTAAAGGTGCCTGTAACAGCTGGTTGCCCTTTCAGGCAAAAGCACGATCACGGCTGCATCCCAGTAGAGTCGCAGTCAATGCCTCAGGTACCGTCTCGGCAGAATTAGGTGGTGGCACTACTAGAATCTGCCTCTTACCGCATTTCCTACGTTCAAGCCGGCACTCTTCACTTCTTCCACCACCAGATCAAAACGCATCTTGAACCGCGCCTTCAATCTCATTCGAACCATTGCGTCAAGGCGCAGCATCTTTTGTCTCGTTTCCTCCGGGTTGCTCGCTTCTTTTTGCCTTCTAATTTTTCGCCTTGGGTTGCATTTGCGGCCGGATGCGGCGCAGCAGCGACTATGCAGCCCATCCCTGCTGACCATACGTGGGCGCCAGCCAGCCAAGCGGCCTGGACGAACTTGTCTGCGCCCCAACGTTGGTCTTGGTGGGAGGAGACGGCCCTTTGACAAGAGATGGACTGAGGAGACGCAGCCAACTTTTTTCGTTCAATTGGGATCGAGCAATTGCATGTTGCAGACCATTATTGGGTGCGTCTCAAAGGGGCAACAACCAAATTAGTCCGTTGGGAGCCAGGTACGCATGCGCAATTTTCAAGGCCGGAGCCAAAGACGTAGTTCCGAAGTGCATCAATAGCGACACATTTGCTAAGTTGTTATAGCTATCAAGTCAGCGGAATACCCAGAAGCCTCAACACCATTATACAGAACCAATAACAGTCCCGATTGAATCTCGTCATCTCCTCTCGCCAAGACGACTTCCCTCCCATTGAAAAAATTGCAAACCAGACCAGAGTCATGAAGTGGTGCGGAACTGCCTTTACCATCCATCCAAGCCGTTTCGTCTAATCCTCTATCCACGATGTGCTCCCTATTTGGGATACACCGGTGCCAATGAATCATTGTGCATCTAAAAAGGATACTATAAATGGCCAAGACACAGCCGTTTTGGTTCCGATGAGGTCACATAAGGCCCGATCAGTATTATCAAAGTTCCACAGATATCTCTCACATACTCAATCTGTCGGTCTGATCTTTTGAGCGCGCATGCAAGTGAAAAAGCTCATTCCCAATCCCTGACCAGCTGAGAAAGGATCATCCTCGATCCACTTCAATTGTACATCTCATTGTACGTTCTCTCAAACGGCAATTTTTACCGTGCTCTCTAGGTTACTTGGCGGGTAGTATCGTTCAGCTCTCTCGGTTACGGATCCCTCAGGACCCGACTCCGACTCGGCTCCTCTCCACTTCTCCGGCTCCATGCCAACCCCCGAACTATTACTGGCAACTAGTTTAACCCTTCGATACAATGGCATGGCATGAGAAAAAAAAAAGACAAAGTAAAATGGTGTGTAGGCCTATCTCTCGGTTACTTTTCGATAGCAAACCTTGCCTTGTGGCTGACTCATGTTCAACCACGAGGCATTTACGGAAGCTCACGGACAGGCCGAGGACAGTATTGAGTCTATGACAAACTAAAATATTCATTTCTGAACTCTTTCTGAGTGAACCCGCGGGGCTGTTCAGAAATGGCTCTCTATACCCACGCGCAAGGCGCTTGATCCAGGAACAAAAGGACCATTTGGGAAGGCCCCTTGCATTCACATTTTCTTTTGGCGCGGTGACGCCACACGACTATGGCATGAACTGTATAGTATCCTGTAACTCTGTGTGTGTGGGTGTATGCATATTTGTCTGTCGCAGACAGGCGCTTTCCGGGCAAATGTCAACAGCACATTTGCACGCTGTGGCGAATTAAGCTGTTGCTCTAAAGCGGACGGCCCCTGCCAGCCTTGTGTCGATGGTGATCAACTACGCCATCAATGAGATGAGGTATAGCCTTTCTGGCATCCAAACAGCCATTTCGTAATGGGAAATGGACGGAGTCCTATACGGACGCTTTTCGGTTCAGCTCAACAGCTTTCGCCGCAACCCCATGCATGCCAGCACACCCTATCTGGACAAGACGTCGAGCATCTCCTTGTATCCAGTGTCAAATACGGAGCATCAAAGGCTGTCCTACTTCCACCGCTACTTCAACGGCCGTCAAATTTATTGTTGTGGCTCAGCGTCCAGTTACCAACGGCAACTCCATGTGGCAGACGTGGGACGTGGCATCCGTACAAGGCGACATCCATCAGCACGCCTCATATTGCCGACCACAGTTTTTTGACCCCCTGCAGTCCAAATTTACACCCCGCCATGCTATGCGGAAGAAAAAAAAAAAAGGCGGCTACAAAGTACATGGCACACAATAAGGCAGCCCACCAATACCAAAAAAAAATAACTGATTGGCAGTCTAGATCCTGGGACGTGCGGCACACAAAACACACCCAGGGGGTTTTCTCCAATGACCTCGTTGAGTAACAGAGTGTAAGGGGGTTGCGCACATTTAATATCGGCCTAGATGGAGTGAAAGGCGCATTGGTTGCTTCTGCAGGTCGCCAAGGTGCGTTGGGCACAACTTACCAATCAGAAGACAGAAACCGCAGAGCCGCAACGCTTGATCCCAGTCAGGAAAGAGAGATAATCAGCCATAATGGACAGCCCCAAAGGATAGTAATATGCGTCTTCTCCAATGTACTTCACCAGCTGGAAGAGTCAAAGTGCAATGCTGATGGAGTCGTCAAAATGGAGTCGTCAAAATGGACCCGTATTGCCCTGGTTCTAATCCCTGCCACCCGCAGAGCCTCTTGGAGCCGGACAGCATCGTGGTGTACTTACTTCATGGGGTGTATCGAACGTGTCAGTTCCGTTGGAAGAGATGCGGGAAAAGGCGTTTATACACTAGGTATAATTTACTTTACCGAACTGGCTGGTCACCAGCAGTATGCGTGCCCGGTGCTGCACAGTTGCCTAAGAACACGCGAGGCTCTCGAGCATGGGTTGTATCAGCCAGGTGCATCCACCACACCCTCTCTGGCGCTTCATGGTTCAGCCATGCGTACCATGAAAGATCTTTTAAAGATCTCTTCTCTCGTCCTTTTCTGTCTTCTATTCCTGGATCTCAAGGCAAAGCTTCCAGCTTGTGTTGAGAATGTTTTATCTTCAACCACCTCCCCAAGACAGACAAGTTTCACAACTCCAATTTTCCCTTATGGGTAGAAGCAGTATGCTCGAGGCGACTCCAAACGACGCTTCTTTGAGGTACGCACTGACTAGCTAGTGGCAACTTTGGCATGCGTCTTGACATTGCCATGACTAACTCATGATCAACTACAGGTGTTTTGAAGTCGATGCTGACAACACTTTCGGGACACCGACACAATCAAACCACAGGAGCTCTCCCCATATGTATCCTGGCCTACTTGCCACTGCTCAAGATTCCTTCCCCATCAGCAATGGGCAGAGTCCTCAGCTCTCGCCAGGACACTCGTTTACTACCGGCCTTGGCCTAGCTGGTTCTTCTTCTGATTGGCTTCAGCAAGAGACCAATGCGGCCAATAATGACAGCCTGATTTTCAGCTCCTCCGGTCGATACAACCCCGGTCTGAACCACTACCCGCACTCTGCCGCACAAACACGGATGACGGTATACGATACCCCTCAACAGCCACACGAGCGCGGGGATGGCGAGTGTCAGCATGGTCCATACTCTGGGGATCAATTGTCGACGCAGCTATTTGAGAATCGCTTCTCAAACATCCCAGTCACCCAGTCCTACAACTCCTTGGGCCAGCCACATGCTTATACCTTCAGCCAGCCTGATTCAGGAATCCGCTCTGGACACTCCTCGAATGGTAGCACTCCCATAGCCGCTTGCTCTGATGTCCAGGACATGGTACCTGATATGTATAACAGTGCAAACGATGCTCCCGACCTTCTGTATAGCGTTGGAAGTTCTCGGTTCCACCTCCCCAGTGATATGCAACTGCCCCCAAATCTGGAGACAAGCAACAGCTATCACTCTCCAGAAACAGACTCTAGCAGTTTAATCCTTCCCTCCTTCGAACCAACAAACATCCAACATCAGGTTTCGAATACAAGGGCATCGCGCGGCCGCCGCTTTACAACCTCTCATCACGGCACCTTGGAAAATAATATACAACATCTTTCGCTACGTCGGTCATCCAGCACCAGACCGTCTAATAGACGCTCGCCCATAGCGCAAGCCCAATTGCAACCAAAACCTGGGAAGAGTGTCGCTGAAGGAACAGAAAAGTATAGTTTTTTCAAACAGGAAATACACCTTCCAAGGAAAGGTCGCGGAAAACGTACAAAGCCTTTGGAAGAAGGGAAGCGAAAGGCTGCGACAAGAAGAAGAAATGAGCGGACCGTGTGTATTGGCTGCAAGTTGGCTAAAGTCATGGTAAGTCTAATTTGAAAACTTGTGCTTTATTTGTTCAGTTACTTTTTACCCTCCCCCCCCTCCCCCCCCTCCCTTCCCCCCTTTCCCCCGTGTTCTCCTTCCTTTACTCTTTCCTCTCTCTCTCTCTCTTTTGGCCCTACCCACTATACACATTCATACTCCCTTTCTTACCCGCACAGTATATAGTGTGCAATATCATGACTAACATGTTGTTGTCTAGTGCGAGGGCCGAGAACATGGAAGAGATTGTAACCGTTGCACCAGTGGTCATAACAATGCCCCGAAGCCATTTGTTTGCGTTCCTGCGAGCTTCATCGAACTCATCCAGCAGGGTAGCACTATGTTGCTTGGTAAGTGGTGATTACATTTTTGAGTATTAGGCCATTTACTGATATGATATCTGAGTTTTAGCCCTTCACACAATTCATCTTAGGTCTTCGAACGGCTTTCGTCAAGCAATCAGCATACCTTTTGACATAAATGTACAGCAACTCCTTGGCTCCATCAACGCCTTGAAAAGATCTTACGGCGTCATTCAAGCGTACGAGGGAAGCAATGTGCTTTTCGAGCTCGACCTCCAGGCTTGCCACGCTTTCATCAGTGCCAATTACCCCCCTACATCTCATGCCTTCCGCCAATTCATCGATGGTCTCAAGTTCCAGCGGCAGGGTCAATGGAAGGGATGTATCAAAAACAGCACCCACCTGCTAGAAACTTTGTGTAACACGCTTTTCATGTGGGATGACGCAGCTCTCCAGGTCACGTATTCTGCGGCAAACGAGATCAGTCATGAAATTGAAGATCGCCTCGACCTCAACCCAAACGACGAACAGCATCAACAAATCGCGTTCGCCGCAGCTCAGTTATATCGAATTATTGGACGTCAATTAGAGCTCCAATTCTATGACCATCTCAAAAGAGCCCTTGGCCGTCCTAATATTTGCCACGAGGTTGTTCTTGACGTTGGCCGCGCTATCATCTCTCTCCGCCGCCGCCTAGCCTCATGGACCCAGCGCTGGGACAAGAGCCAACCTTGGGACAGTGTACCATTTCCACCTGAGATTGAATCATACACTGATGAAGACAACGATAACGATTACAGCTTGGGAGGCGGCTCTATCATCGCCGACCGTGTCAAAAATCTTTGCCTGATTCTCTACGTTTATTTTTGCTACATGAGACGGCGGCTTCCCGTGGAGGAACAAAGCGATCTATACACAATGGAAGTACGGGATCCAGAAAATGATCAAATGGTGAAGGAAGACCTTCCACAGTATGAGAGTATTAAAGGGTTTGAGGATTGGCTTCAGTTTGACGTTAACTGATATTGGAGCTCGGCAGCAACGTCTACGAATTTTGAGCTTCTTCTCGATTAGAGAAAAAAAAACTGCTTCCCTTCTTCTTCCTCTTCCTTTTTTTTTTTTTTTTTTTTTTTCCCATCTTCCTTTTCTTTCCTCTTTCTCTTTTTTTTAATGATTAATGACTTCTATGGAGGATACAGAGAAAGGATTTGCTTGGGGATTTATGAGCTGATGAGATGATTCATGTAACGAAGCTGGGACATGACGCTGGGAAACATGGACTCTTTGAACGATGGGCCTAGGTATGGATAAAGGGAACGCATACGATATTGATCTGCTATTTACACTCCAAAATTTATGATTGTTTTGTTTTTCTGACATGGATTATTCGTTTCGCTGCCGTTTTTGATGTATCGGCACTGATGATTCACCGCTGTAGGAGTAACTAAGATATATCACCTTGCTGCCATTCGTCAAAACAGAAATGGTCTTTCTACCCTCCCCTCTGCTCTCTTGCCAAACTTCTTCACTCTCCTCGCATCCCAAGCATCCAACTGGACCGCACTTCTCTTGGAAGACGAAGATGACGGCGCCGGATGACCTGCCGTGATGTTTCCGCACTGCGGTCTCTTGAGCTTATTCCCAAACGTATCAGCCGTCCATAGCAGCACACCATTCGTCCAGCCAAAGCCCTCGACAACCTCATACTCTCCTCCTCCACCCGCAGCGTTGGTCGAGTTATCATCGTACTTTTCAAACATGATACCCACGTCTTGGTCCGACAGCCCACGCAGCTTTGGCGTTTCCGAGGTAGACCCTCCTGTGGCGAGCCACGTGCAAAACGTAAAGTCGAGATATCGCTGCCCCAGACGCAGAGATAGGTTCTGAATGTCCTGATACGAAGGGTCCTGGGCCGAGAAGGTCGCGGGCACGTTGTTGAGCCCTTGCATGAGGATGTGCTGGTTCGGCGGCCAGACGTTGGGCTGGTCCCACTGCTGGCCGGTCTGGACGTTGCTGGCTGGAATACCGCCGGGCTGGGCGTCGAGATATCCCGCCACGCGGTCGTAGGCGCGCGTCACGGCATAGGGGTTGTTCTTGATGTAGTCTGGCGCGGCGCCCGTCCAGAAGGGGTAGAACTGGCCGACGTGGAAGAAGACTTGCTTGCCCGGGGGAGCGGTTCGCCTGTCGAGCGAGATGGCGTCCTTGTCGGCGGGGACGTAGACATACTGCGAAGAGGAGGTGAGGTTGTAGTCAAAGTAGCTGAAGAGGGTTTCGTTCCAGAAGACGGCTTGGATGGCGGTGCTGCGGTTTGCGGCGCGCTCGGCCCAGGCGCGGGCGGCGGTGAGGTTGCCGGTGCGGTTGAAGAATTGCGAGATTGTCAGCTCGTTGCCGTACAGGATGGCGTTGAGGTCGACGGGGACAATGGCCTTGTTGTTGAGCGAGCGCAGGGGGAAGTAGACGTCGTTGATGGCGTCGGACGGGTTGGCGAGCCAGCGGGAGGTGTAGTCGTTGCCGCTCTCGGCGCCGGTGGCGAGGTTTGCGTATAGATCTGCCACTTGGGTCGCGTTGAGAGGCTTGTTGGCGGGATAGATGATGCCCGAAGCAGCGAAATAGGAGCGGTTGTTGGCGGTGACATGGTCCTCCAGGAAGGACTCTGGCCGCGGCTGGGTGTTTTGCACGGCATATTGCTGCAGCGTGTACGTCTTATTCGCAACAGTCACGCTGACGGTCCTGTTGCTGATCCAAAAGTCATGCTCCCTGACCAGCAGCGGCAGAGCCCTCGTCAGAATACTCGTGTCATTTGTATGCTCAATGTAGACCTTGACCATCTGCGACAACAGCGGCGGCTGCGACCGATTCAAGTAGTACAGCCGCGCGCCATTCGGAATAAACCCAAAGCGCTCAATGAAATCCAAGAAGTTCTCAATCGTATTCTTCGCAATGCCCACAAACGCCCCGCCCGTGCGCAGCAGGCCCTCGACGATCCAGTACGAGTCCCAGTAATACGGCTCGCGGAAGCGTCCGCCCGCGACGACAAAGGTGCGGTTCACTGGGATGAAGCTGTTGGGACAAGTTGAGCAGTTGCCCACGGCGGTTCCGGAGTAGCGGCGCGTCAGGTCGGGCCAGATGTCGATGACTTTGGAGACGAATTGGCGGATGACGGTGTCGTTGATTCTGGAGAGAAAGGTTGGGTTGGTGGAGAGGTTGGACCGGGGCACGTCGACGAGTTCGCCGCCGGCGTCGGCGAAGTAGGTTGCGAGGAAGGTTTGGAGGGAGGAGGAGTTTGTAAGGGGTTTGGAGAGGTTGTTGAAGGCGGCGAGGATTTCGGGGAGGGGTCTCTTTGCTGGCCTGGTGGTTGAATGGTTGAGCTTTTTATACAAGTGTGTGTGTGGATGGGAGATTTGGGGCCTACATGTCTACAAAGGTCTTGGAATCGGAAAAGGGGTGCGCCAGCTGGATGTCTTGGAGGATGTCGCCGTGGCAGTATATGGGCGAGTCACAGGGGGCGATTACAGAGCCGTTGGTGTAGACAGCGTTGATGGTTGGCAGGGCTGCCAGGGTGACTATTATGAGGGATTGCAGCGAAGCCATCTTCACTTTTTGGTCTCGAGGACAGGTATAAAGAGTCTCAGGACTTGGGATTTTTGGTTAAAGAAAGGGGAGGCATATGGGGGGCTATTTATAAATGTAAACACTCACGATGTTTTTTTATGCTCTTATTTGGTAAGATGTTGTAACTCTTTAGTAACCAGAAAGAACAAAAATCAAGGCATGTTCAAGCTTGGCAAGCCTTGGCTTCGCATCCAACACGGAACGGGCTGCAAAACTCATTTTCAAAAGTCTGCCACACTACTCGGCTTCCCCCACTTTTGCGGTAGAGTGTCTTTTTTGAACATTTATCAAATCGGAGGAATAGATGGGTGACGCTATTGATAGATGATGGAAGTTGTTGTGGCTTGGTAATGTCGTACGAGGCTTTTGGAGTATCGTGTAAACGAGCGTTGACGCATATAAGTGAATTTGGAGCATGAAGAGTGTGATGGATGATACTATTACAGCAGAGCCGTTTTTTCGTTGCTGGTGACTTTTGCTAGCAATCAAGTTGATTTCCATGCATGTTTTCTCCTGAGCCAAGGACACAAAAGTTTGAGCACAAATAGCTGTGAGATGTCAAAACTGTCAAATCTCCAACTCATAACCTTGTCAACTACGGACCATTTCCCCCCACAGCTTCTCCGCATTGAAAGTGTTTGAAACTTGTTCTAGCGTCGGTGCGGCATGGCGTTCCTTTGTCCCCGCACTGCGCTAATGGTAAGTTGAAAGTCATCACCAGTGCATCATTCTAGGTCGTCAAGTTGCTTTCTTCAAATCATGATGCACAATTTTGAATTCTTGTATTAGTTGAGATTATCACTTTTGGTGGTTAACTAATCTTGGATGCAATATATGCATGAGATTGAACTGCATGGCTGTATTGACATGGCCCGTCATCTTTCTCGTGGCTTCCGCTGTAAAAAAGCATCGCCCTTGACGTCAACAGGCGCCCATCTAGCCGAAGCGCCCGACTAAAGGAGAGCAAGCAATTCGATAACTCAGGATTCCCTAGAATAAAGCTGATGTTTTAGCAAAACTCAATTCAGGAATCTCCGCCTCGGGGTAAATCTTCACGTGGCCCCAACATGGTTTCTTTCCCGTGTGATGAGGCGTCTTGCCACGAATCAGCTACACAACTTAAAAAGTCAGATGTGAGACTACGACGACGATCAGTGACATGTGCCGCGCAATTGGCCGAAGCTATCCAAGGTTGATGACAGCATCTTTGCAATCAATCAGTTATGAAGAGTGTGATTTCACAACCAAGAGCCTATCGCAGCACCGGATGCTCAGGAGGGGTTGAGGTTCAATTGTACAAACTACTCCATGTCCATCTATTCCATCATGGCTCACGCAAGCACCTTGTTAAACACCCTCTCCAGCCGCGCCAACACCTCGTCGCCATTCTGCGCAATCTGATAATGCGTCACAAGCCGGCCTCCACCCACCGTCAACCCTTCAGCCTTGCTCAACTCCGTAAACCTCTCGGTACTGCAGCCAGCCGCCTCGATATCCAACCAGGCCATGTTTGTATGCACTGGATGCACCAGCTTCCCGCCCAAGCCCGTCCACAGCGCCTCCACCTTGTTGGCCATCTCGTGGCCCTGCTTCAACAAGCCATCGCTTCCATCATCCCGTGTGCCAAACGTCTCGTCCACAGCAACCCTCGCACAAGCGGTGATGAAGCCCGGCTGCCTCATGCCGCCTCCAATCGCCTTGCGCGTCCACCTCGCGTGCTGCAGCGTCTTCGCGTCTCCCACAATGATGCTCCCCACGGGCGCGCCCAGGCCCTTGGAGAAGCACAGGCTCAGCGTGTCAAACTGCGCGCAGAATTCCTTGAGGGTGCCCGCGCCGGCCACGACGGCCTCCCAGAGACGCGCGCCGTCGCAGTGCATCTTGATGCCGTTGGCGCGGGCGAACTGGGAGATGCGCCGGACCTCGCTCAGGGGCATAATCATGCCGTTGAGCGTGTTCTCGAGGCTGATGACGCGGGTGGGACAGTCGTGGACGTTGTCGCTGATGACGACGTGGGCCTTGACGTCCTCGAGGGTGAGGAAGATGCCGTTCTTGGGCACGACGGGCTTGACGGTGGCGCCCGTCAGAGACGATACACTGTCAGGTCAGTGAATTAGCAAGATGCCAGTGCTGGATGTAAAAGAAATGAGTTACGAACCCTCCGGCCTCGTAGAGAATAATGTGAGACCGATGGTCAGCCAGCACCGCGTGGGGAGGCTGCACCAAGAGGCTCCTCAGAGATACCTGGTTGCCCATTGTGCCCGAAAGAACAAACAGGCCGGCTTCTTTGCCGGTGAGTTTGGCCACATGAGCCTCCAAGTCCTGCGTCGTGGGGTCCTCGTTGAAGACGTCGTCTCGGAGGGTGCATCTTGAGATGGCAGCCAGCATGGACGGCGTGGGAGTTGTCATGACATCGCCTATTGTGAGCATGAAACGTTAGTAAACTGTGTGATTTCTCTTCATTCCTCCTTGATACTCGTGAATAAATCAAAGCAGTGAGCCTCACTTCGCAAATCCAGAGACCCAGCGCCCTTGACGCCCACCCAGGCATTCGATCCTTCACTGCTTCCCATGATTGCTGCGTTGTTTCTCGCACTGCAGCTCGAAAGATGCCGTTTCGTCAGTTGATGCCGTCCCAACGTCCGCGCAGTCTGTCGCCGTAGCAGAGATGCAGAATTTGAGGCCGAGATGATTGCAGAAAAGAGCGAGCCCCTCATATTCAAAGCATCAAAGAGACGGAGCAAGTTGAGCCGAAGGCACTCCAATTCAAGTTGGTTTTACTCCAACTCGTTTGGAGGGGTTAAAAGATTTGGGGAGGCTAAAGTGCCGGCCCCGCCTCCCGAAAGGTTGTCCGAGAACCGGCCCGTGATGCTGGGAACTTGATAAGTAGGCGTAACAATTCGCGTTGTAGTTCAAGTTTTGCTGTTTTATTGCTATATGGTGACTATCTAATAACAGGGCTGTGAGATGGATATGGTTGTTGCTGGTTTGGTTGCTTGTTTTCATATCTACGCGTATAGGGCTAAATATGGGTAGGCAGCATGAGGTTTGGACATGAGTTTCCTTCACCATCCAACATTGGAGATGCCAAATGCCAAATATACAATCTATGCAGTATCAATACATGATTCGTAGCATCGTACCCCAACTTCAAGCAGAACCCCTTCACAATGTCAAACAGTTGACTACAGTACGCCCTTTGAAAGCCATCCTTGCCCCAATAGCGCTTAAACAATTACCCACAGCCATCTACAGTGTCAATTGAAGACGAGGTAGCCAAAAATAAGCATGACGAAGATCATAATATTATCTCAACCTCAGGCTTACATCCCCATCCCTAAATCAAAGCTTCTTGCAGCTCTCGGTACTATCTGTATTTGGTAACTGGCAATTCCCTCAAGTTTGCACTTGTGAAACCCACCAGGTCTCAATCACTCTATACCCGTGTAGAACAAGAGCCTCGCTAACGAAAAAGCCCATGTTGCACAGCCATCAATCGACAACAAGCAGATCTCTTGGCGCACGGGTCCGATCCGATGTGCTCGGCGGCTCCATCTTGCCAAGGTGAAGCTATTCATAATATATACGGAGTACTACTACTTTCTCTTGACTTGCATTTCAGCCTTTGTTTAGATGAAAAAGAAACTTTGCCTCAAACATCTCACTCCCCGGGAAACTTTGATGATATTAGCGCCCATTTATATCACAAATGGAGACATGGACCGACGCTACTACGGGAATGGGTGGTGCGGGTGACACCCCATGTTCCAGGCACCATGACGACGACTAGATTACCAGAAATCCCGGCTGATTGTTGAGCGTGTGGCTATGGGCTGACGGCGGGATGGAATTCATGGAGAATGGAATGGTGGCTCAGCTTATTTCGTATTCACCTAGCGTGCGTTGGCTTCGGGCAGATCACAGTCGCGTGCGTTGCATACGAGCAATGGGAGGAATACTAATCAGCAGTAAGACGAACAAGGAACGGTAGATTAAATGAGAGAGATAAAGCCCTGGTTTAGCTTGGCTGATGAAGTGTCAAAGTTGGAAGCAACACACCATTCTAGGATCCCAGCAAGGTGTGGCGCTACTTTAATAGAGAAGAGGAGAACGGGGGAAACTCTATAACTCACTCTCTTCTCCACACGAAGAAAGAAAATACAATCTTATGTTTCTTCATGTAAAAGAAAAAGACGAAACCGAAAGGAGGAAAGAATCCGAGGGAGAGGGATACAAAGGGTGGAAGATACCTCTCTACCATTTGCGTATACATATACACATGGGAAAGAATTTGAAATGTTCAGGCATAAGAGATAACAACACCACAACGGGCCTCGTCACCATGATTTCGCGGCCACTTCCGCTCGTTTTCCTCGCCGGCCTATTCAGTCTCATCTGGTGGCTGTCGAACCAGCCGCTGTTCGCCTTGCACCCCGAACGGCATCGCATCTCCAACCTCGACCTCGTGCTGGGCCATCAGCTGCCGTCTCATCTCAACTACTCGACCAGCACCGCTTCCAGCAACCGCGACTTTTACTCGTCGAGCCAGGCGCGGGCCTTTTGCCAGGCTCATGGCTATCAAGTCTTTGCGCCTCACGCCGCGTCGGGCGAGCGCAAGATCTACGACCTCGTCATGGTCAACACGGAGCTGGACTGGCTGGAGATCCGGCTCGAGACCATGTACGACCACGTCGACTACTTCATCATTGTCGAGTCGCCCAAGACGTTCCAGGGCGGCAACAAGGCGCTGATTGTGCTCAACCACTGGGACCGCTTCCAGCGCTTCCACGACAAGATGATCTACCACCAGCTGACCTTTCCCGAGTGGTTCAGGCCCACGCGGCCCTGGGACTACGAGGATCTGCAGCGCGACGCCGGCTTCGACCAGGTTTTCCCGCAGCTGGCCGGCCGCTCGGCGCCCGTCCTCGGCGACGTGATTCTCGTGGCCGACGTCGACGAGATCCCGCGCCCCGAGACGCTCTTTTTGCTGCGGACGTGCAGCTTCCCAGCCCGCCTCACGCTGGCCTCGCGCTTCTACTACTACTCGTTCCAGTTCCTGCACACCGGCCCCGAATGGCCCTTTCCGCAGGCCACCTTTTACCGCGGCCAGCGCACCATCCGGCCAAACAACCTGCGCGCCGGCATTGGCGGCATCCCGTTGCTCCGCGAGCTCGACAAGGGCCACCTCTCCAACGCCGCCTGGCACTGCAGCAGCTGCTTCGCCACGATGGAGCAGTTCCTCAACAAAATGGCCAGCTTCTCGCACGTGTGGATGAACAACGAGTACTACCGCGACAAGGACATCATTGCCGACGCGGTCCGCGAGGGGAGGGACGTCTGGGGCCGCAAAATCGACACGTTTGACAAGATTGAGAGGAACCTGGACGTGCCGGCGGTGCTTTTGCGGGAGAGGAACAAGTACAAGTACATGCTGGATAGGAGTGGCAAGTCTGCTGGGTTTACTGATTACCCGTGATTTTGGATAATGCATAAATAAGGGGATCAAGTTTAGAGCAGCGAGATTTGTAATTGTATATGGTGGGATTTGGCACTACATTCGACAATTTATATGAAAGCGATGAGAGCAACAGATTAAGAGCTGAGATGAGTCATATTATCGGTAGCAAATGCTACCTCTGCCTAGCCATCTAGGCGTCTAATCTAATATCAACCAAGCGAATGACTTCCAAGCACACCGTGCCGGTATTAATTAAATCAGATCTCCCATGAACCTCCCCCTTCTATAGTTTTCCCATTCCCAGAAAAAAAAGAAGCCAGAACCACCAACGCCCTTTGGAAAGTCCCCCAGCAGACCATCAACCCCCCCTCCAGCGATCAAAGCGTTTCCCGTATTTCAATCGCCGTGCTCGCTGGATGAGACAAAGATGGTCTGCTACAGCACTGGCTAAAGTGCATTGGTTGTGCTGGCTGCAAAATCCTCGGGCCTCGACAATCTCTTTTCATTTGCCTAGATACAGGCCGAAGAGCAAGATGGCCATGACTGCCAGTGTGAGTTGGCTTGCTGCAGGGGTCAAGGGTTAATATGCTTATTTATGCATACAGGTTTAGAAAATTTAGATGGGAGAAGCACTTACTGTCGAAAGAGCGGGATAAGCTCGTATTGGGCTCCATGATTTGTGGCAAAGTGTTCTGAAGACGGGCTTGTCTATTAATAGACGTGTTACTCGAGTGATTTCCAGCATCACACCTTCGCTATACGTACAATCAATGCCCCAGAAGAGAAGAACGAAAAGTTACACCCCCTCAAGATTTGAATCAACTTGTTGGAAGAAAAAAAAACTGAGGAGAGAAGAAGAGAGAGAGAGAGCAAACAATGGAGAGGCATACAAGTCTTGAAATACAAAGCTGCAGCACACCCTGACACAACAAGTGGAGGCGATGCTCTGGCGCTGCTACAACCAAAAGAGTTGTTAGCATAGGTTGAGTGAAATACAACCGCCCAACTGGATTCGGCCACTTGTCTCTGCATGCAATCCATTGTAAGTCTTACAACTGCAGTGTCACATGTAAAATCACCAGCTTGCTACAACTAAACGGCCAGAATCTGTCTTGTCAAGCCACCGACGAAACTCAGCACCTAGCCCAGAGCCCTAACCAACTCCTTCCAATATCCCTTCTAAACTATATTCCATAGTATACTCTTCTACAAATAGCTCTATTCCATCTTGATTTCCTTGAATATCCTCTTCTTTGAAATTTTTCTTCTTCATTTTTTCATTCTTCACCTTTCACTCTTCCTTCTCAACAAAAAAAAATACAGCGGCATCAGCATCGTCATCGTCCCGTTTTACCCCTCATCACCACAATTTCCCCTCCCGCACGAGCAAATCCCCTTCCACCACGACTTCAACTTACATGGCATTACAAGCACCAGCACCAGCACAGCGCTGCATGGGCAACACAACACCATCCACGCACACGTGCATTTCACATGCATAGGTTCATTCATGCGAAAAAAAAAAAAAAAAGGTCGAGGCTCTTTAGATATCAGCCCAACTGATTCTTTTCTTTTTTGCTTCCCGTTCGGCTGTTATCCATGCATTCTCGCCCAAATCCGCCAACTCATCGGAAGAAGCCCCCCAAAAGCCTCAAACCTCTCCCCCCCCTTCATGCCGGCATATATGAGTTTTTTTAGTCATTACTACTAGCTGGTAGGTAGTAGCAGTATTACGCCGTGCATTTTCCTCACTTGTATCGCACATATCGCGCATTTTTTTTGCGTCATTGCACCGTTTGCTTCACCTTGCATCGCATGACATTACATTGCATGTGCATTCGGTGAGACAGCAACAGCAACAACAAATACCTACATGCATATTCCTCTCTCAGCCTCCTATTCTAAATTGCAAAATGAGAAGAGAGAAAAAATGACAATGATGTGAAAAATTTTCGCCATTGACACTCCAGATTGGTCGAGTTGACAGCAAGCTGCAGCCAGCAGAGGCCATCACCTGATTGTTGCTTTGCGAGCGCCTATCCGATCCGACGTTTGTTACGGGCAGCGGCTAATGCTCTGTTCTGCGATTGACAGAAATACCACCACGCCTTGGCCCAGTCTAATACCTCAGTTGTAAAAGCGGTACTTGTTCAGACATTTACATACAAGAAGCTTTGTATAGTGCATGTTACCTGCTAAAAGCTAATAGGCGCACCCGTCTATTCAATCGCTTCTCCAGCAATCTTACACCAATACTGACAGTATGTATCCTCCAACCTCTCATCCCGAATCCCATACAAGTATATGAGAAAAAAAGAGGAAAATAGAAAAATACCCACCCCTACTTGATGCGCTGGCACTCGTCTCCCACCACCACTAAAGCAGGCGACACCCCGGCACGCTTTCTCCAGACATGCAGCGCAACACACACCAAAACGAGCACAAGGCATCACATCATATAGCATATCAGCATGGATGTGCTTTGACGCGCCGTGAGTAGCAAGAGTAAACAAAAAATTAAAATAAAACAAAACAAAATAAAATAAAAAATAACAGAAATTATAGTCATATACCAACTCACTCCATACCAAGACAGGCCAAGTACAAGAAAAAAAAAGGCAGCAAATCCCCCAGCCATTCCATGTACCCTTCATCCTCTATATGCCTCCCACCCCAGCTCCCATCCAGAAAAGCACCAATCCAAATCCAAATCACCAGACAGGGAATGCGGCGCTTGTCAACTGCACTGATGAGTTGGCCAACGCATCAAAGTGGTCCGTGTGTAGCCTCGAGATCCGTTCAACCCACACACGCTCTTTTCCTTCTCTTTTGCTGCGCTCGCTTTCCTTCTTCTCCCAAACAACAAATTCATCCTTAATACTTATGCCGCGTCTCTCACAATCATCCTCTCTTTTCCTCCTTCTTTCTCCTCTTCCCTTCTATCAAGCAGCAGCAGCAGCAACAGCCTCATCCACTGGCTAGTCCGAGTCTGATCCGTGTGGCTGGTGTCTCCCCCCACCCTTCCACACGCTATTGCTGTATACGCTGGCAGAGGTACTTCCCCAGCCCCGCGCATACTTTACTCAAGCCTTGTACCCTTCCCACACTGGCTTCTCCAAGGACCAAACCGCCGGGACTTTTCGCTCCATGGATCTCGCCTCTATTTCCTTGTCTCCAGGCCGTTATGCTTTTACGCCAGCTCCTCGCTATGCTTGAGAGGCTTGCTCATGGGACTTCCCTAGACAACGCCACCAAGCATCGACGTCCTGTCACTGGTTCCATTTGGGAGAAAGATGTCCTTTTTTTTTTTCTTTTGCTTGTTCTTTTACTCTTACTCTTGCAGAAAATGCTATAAATCATCATTCATATCTCATCGCCCGGATCGCTTGCTATACATAGGCGCGCCTTGGAGTTGATCTTGTCCATGGAAAAGAAGAAGATATAAGAAACAAAAGGTCACAACAGCTTATCCAACCAAAGAAACAGGGAAAGGGGTGACAAAAGACACGGGCAAGTGCCCACCATGCTCCAAGCCCCGGTTCCGTTTTCTATATCTCACACTCGATGCCTCCGGATGCCGTCTTTCTTTTACTTCCATCCATGCCTGGAGCCAAACGGGAGGATCATCTCAAAAGGTTAGCCCCGGTCAAGAGCCAAAAACAAACCAAAAAGAAGAAAAAAATTGCCATGGTCGCCATCATCCTTCATGAGAGTTCGTGAGAGAGGAAATTTATATACCAACTGCCGTCCGTCCGGAAAATATCTCGCCTTCCTGCCGCTCATGCGGTGGGTTGTGCTTCGCTCAACAAGGTGCCGGGTCTAGTCGACCTCTTCGCACTGGGGTTCGGGGGTTTGGGGCATTAAGGGCATTAATGGCCAGCGCCGTTTCCAGTCCTGGCTGTCTTGAAGTGTCTGGGCAACAAGGTCTTCTGCTATGTCATTAGACGGCTAGGCAAACTTGCTTAGCCGTCATATGTGCTTAGCAAGATGAAAGCCTTCACCGACCGGCCCACTTCATCAGGAACTGCACCACGGCATCCAGATTTGTCTCTTGTTTAGCACTGATGCCGTAGCAGCAAACCTCACGGTGCTGGATGCTTTTCAAGTCCAGCTCGTCAATCAGTTCATCCACGGACAGCTTCTCGTCGAGGTCAGACTTGTTCCCGAGGACAAGCAAGGGGATCCCGCCCAGAGACGGGTGCGCCATGAGGGAGTGAAGCTCCTCCTTGGCCTGAGGGATGAGTTCTACATCCGCAATGTCTACGATGAAGACGATGGCGTTCACGCCACGGCAATACCGCTCCCACATGGTGCGAAAACGCGGCTGCCCACCGATATCCCAACACTTGAGTGTAACATGGCCCCGTTGCACACGCTTCATATTAAACCCGACGGTCGGAATCGAGCTACACAACAATCACAGTCAGTAATCAGGCCTGCATTTCGAACACGTCCTTCCACAGACGGATGCCATGGAGACGATCCGACAACCGCCGGCCACCCCATGGCGCCAAGATGGACAAGAGGACGGTGAGAGACGGGGACATGCGCTTACTCAAGTGTAAACTCTCCACCCTGCAAAACCATACCAGCAACCATCAGTCAGCCTAACCCAGCAGAGGAATATCAAGTCACGAAAAATGGGAAGCCTACCGCCAGTACTCGCAATAACGACGTCTTTCCAGCGTTTTGCAATCCAACCATGGTCACCTCCATTTCCATCGCCCTAACATCACCAGTCAGAATCCAAGCACAAGACTCACGGAGAGGCAGGCGGGCAAGCGCAGGGCCGTCGGCGCTACGACGCAGCAACACCATGCTACCAAGCAGCGGTATCATAGGCCCCGCCTCAGCCCCTGCAAACGGTTACTACTCACCAGAATGTCCGCAGCAGCCAGTCATACACCTTCCTAAATAACCCAGCCATGTTTTTAATCGTTATACAAGACAGCGATCGAATATCGGTACAGAGAAGCGAAGGATGGGAAGAGGCACGCGAGATTGGGAGAGGAGATCGTATCAGTAGACGGTATCGCAAGAGGTCGAGTCGGCGGTACGACCGGCGGTCAAATGCTGTCTCAGGAAGTCGCGCAATAGCGACAGTGTCGTGGGCGATACACTGCGGGCAGTGCAGTCAAACAAGGTCGGGTGGAAGCTCGTGAACAAATCTATCAATCTACCACCAGCGGCGCAAAGCTCGTGCGGATGCAAAGCTTGCCGCCTGGCATGCGGATGGATGGCGCAGCAATGGCGAAGATCGGCACCTCTGTACGAAGTAGCTGCGAAAAGATGGGTAAGCTGGATGCTGGATGTTGGATTTGTCGACGGTGTTTGGCGATGCGCGGAGTCTGGAGTCTGTGCAGGGAGAAAAAAAATTCAAGGGCAAGAAAAAAAAAAAGAGATGGGGCAAGATAGGGATGCGGAGGGCAAGATTCAAGGTTGTTGCGCAACGGTTGGTCCAAGTGACATGAGGGCTTGAGGTGATGGCGGAGGAAGCACCAGAGCGAACCCCACCTGGAGCAAGATGGATGGTGGTCGAGACAGACGAGCAGTGCGGGCTGGCGGGCGTCCAAGCACGAGCTCTGGCTGGGGGGAAGCTGGGCGGTTTGGGAGAGGCTGACCTTTGTTTCTGCGCTCGCTGGAATGCGAGGGTTGTAGAGCTGTAGAGATGCAGCAGCAGAATTCGACGGTAGGCAAGGGCGTGCTTCGTAGAGCCAGGCGTAGGCGGCGTATCGTAATCGCAGCTAGCAGCTGTTGACGTAGGTCCGAAGCTGGCAAATTCGCAGCTTCAGGACGGCAAGCTACGCCGCTATCTGCACTGCTACTGGACGGGGGAGATGCTCGCCCGCAGCACAAGGATGGGCAAAACGAGAATGGGAGAAAAACTGGCGACCCGTGGGCCGCAGCCAACCAAAACGCAAGAGGCAGCCTAGGCGGCGGTAGCTCTGCTTTGTCGCAGCGGCACACCAAGGAACCTGCGTGCTAGCACCGTGCGTGCGCAACTTCGGGACGTCGTATGGAAGCGGGTATGCTGTGTTTGTCGAGTCACCAGACCTGCGCTGCCAGTAGAGGTTAACCGCTGCCCTGTGCAAACTCTGCAGTTCCATTCGCCTGTGCAGGCTGGGACGATCCAGAGCCGGGGGTCTCAGGATGCATAAAGGCGAGCAGTGCCTACCTTGCCTTGCCGTGCCCTGCTGCAGCAGCAGCTCGAGCTTTTGTGCAGAAAAAGAAGGTATTTATCCCAGTGTCTCGGATGGAGGTGCCTGTGCCTAGCTTGCAACAGCGGCGGCTAATGCGAGTGCACACCTCGCCTGGTGATGAAAAGTGCCTTGGGGGAGATGTCTGGTCTTGTGCCGGTGATCTCAATGACAGGCTGCAGGCGTACTAGGCCATTTCCAGCGCTTCAAACGAGACGAGCGTGCAGTAGACTAATATGGAGTACAGCGCCTAGCAGCAGAAGTGGTGTTGATGGCTGTCGTGTTTCGTCTCTTGCGGTGGTGTTTCTGTGTGCGGCGCTCTCTGCTTGGTAGTCGCTGCCGGAATAGATGCGTGCGCGCTGGAGGATTGCAAACAGCAGATGATGGAGTTTCACGCTGATGGTTTGATTATAAATGGACGATGAGGCGGATGATGAAGGCGACTGAGCGGAGGATGAAGAGGGTGAAGATGAGGGCGATGAGGTGGGGTTGATTCGATGCAAAGAGGGTCGGGTTGGGCCACCTGCCTGCTGCTACTGGCTGGCTCTGACTTCCAGCGCAGCGAATAATAAGGTTGGCGGGCAGCGACTGTCTCAGAGCTCTGGTGCCCCCGCCATTGAGCAGCGATAACGCCTAGAAGAGCCATGAAGCCTATAAGAAGCGCTGTAGTCTCGTGCTGTCTACAAAGACGACTGGCGGTTTTACTTGTACTTCATGTTCGTATATCGGTAAATCAGATGCATTCGCTCCATACTGCATGAATTCTTCTATGCATCTTGAATCACACCCGGTCTGTTTTTGCCCTGTGCTCTGTCCACGAGGCACTGCTAGCTCTCTTCTGCCTGTTCTGAGGGCTGCTTGCCGGACCCCGTTGCTCATCCTGATCTGGCCGATCGGGACGAGCTTTTGCAGAAGAGGATGCGTGGACAGTTCCTTATTAGAGCCCCTGCTCCCGCCTAGCACCTCTATCGGCTGTAATGGTGGGCAGCTTCTTTAAAAGAGTTTTGGGAACAAGGAGGAGGCTCAAGGCAAAGGGTCCTTGCAGCAAATACCTATCACGAGGGTTCTCCATGAGGCCTTTAAATAGTAGAGGATTTGGCAAACCGAACTTTGAATCAGGTCAACACTCATGGCAAAAGCAAATTTTTCATCACATCTCAGCTACCAGAAGCTGGAAAATTGACACTGATACTGAGCAATATACAGGGGTCAACATGGCTTGACTGTGGATCGCCGCTACATAAAAGCTCCATGTACGAGACAAGATACGGAAATATCATGACCAGGGGGTGCCGCTTTTGGGAGGAGGCCAAGCATAATTACGTCGAGAACCGCTTCCATGACACCTTAATATCTGCCAAATAAAGTACTTGGCACACCAACTCAGTGGTCGTGGTCATCCGTTCTTTGCTGGTGTTGGCGGGTGCTGGACGGCCACCCTGCGCAGCAACATATGGGACGAGCTCGCTGAAGCTGTTTGCCCCGTTTTCTAATAATACTTGAGATCGGTGGTTCTTTTCCTCTCCATCATACGCTTGAACACTCATGCCGCTTGGTGCTGGCGGCCAGCAGCAAAGAGTAGGCTGCGGGAGACCCAGCTTTGCTTCGATATCACATGCTTCAGGATCTATAACATGCAATCGAATGCTGATGTCAGTAGCAAATGTATGCTTCTCCGAAGAAGTTTGAGCTTGAAGTAGAGAGGTAGCCTTGAAGCCTCGTGATTGATTTGTTACTTTCAGTTACAGAAGTGCAGAGTTATCGCATGTAAATGCTTGACCCTGCCTTTGAAGCAACGTTTTAACATATCATGCTGTGAGGCCATATAACTTCAAGTTAGGTCCGTCACTCACACTCCAAGCTTAAAAAGACACATTTATAGCATTTTATGGAACATGATATATGTGCAGCCTAGAAATACGCCCGACTTCAATGTTATTACGACGGCTTCAAGTGAAGTATTGGATTGCTCCTCCATACCTTCTAAGTATTTTTCTACCCTGAATCGACGGTGGTCATTTCCATATACATCATAATACTACGTTGGATGCCGCAGACTCGAAAGTCTATCCCCAAAAAAAAAATTAACAAAGATGAAATTTTACAAGTATATCATAAAGAGCAACACATCATCACCTCTTCAATTTCCTCATTCACTCTATCAATCTTGCTAGAAGCCACAAGCGGCCATACCCCGCCTGGCGCATGCCATCAACTGCTTATGTCACTGCTGCTAGCACTATCGATAGCACTATCTCATGTGACCCACTATCCTTATCAGTCAACTTTTTTTTCTTCTATGGGGACCGCAAGCTATCGTGAGAAGTGTCTGCCGGATTGCCTCCAATTACAATTAACCTGGGACAGGCGCTTCGTTAATTGTTGAAACGCTCGAGAAGAAGCTGCCTGTCTCGATGCATTAACTCTCAGGCAATCTATCTTATAATTATTCTCCAATTTCGAAGCCCACCTGCGCAAGAATCGCGATTCGTCTTTATAGCAATCCCCATTCGACATCAGACATCATGGCACCATCAGCCACCAGCACAGAATGGGACCACCAGTTCGATACTCTGCGCCGCCAGGATCTGTTTCGCAATCCTCCCACCGATCATTCCGCCTATCCTGCTCTCCAATTAGCAGTTAATCCTCACATTGAGTCCTTCAACGCCATCTTCCGCGGCGATGGAAAGCCCGGCCTTCTTGCGCATGGTCTGGCGGATATTGGGACAAAAGTTTTCCTCGACGGCAACGACCGCGCCGACCCAGAAGGCAGAAACCGCCTGAACATCAGAATCAAGGATGTGACCCTGCAGAAGCCGCAGGTGCCTCCATCCAACAAGCTGGCCTTGAACAGAGAAATTTTCCCTGCTGAATGCAGAGAGAGACATGCTACCTACAGAGGAAAGCTCTCCGCCACTTTTGAGTACGACATCAATGGAGGCGACACCATCGAATTCACCCGAGAGCTTGGTCAGGTTCCTATTATGATCAAGGTAGGAAGCTTCCCTTTACGTTTTCATTATATATGAAGCTTTGCTTACAAAGCGTAAACAGTCAAACCGATGTCATCTCGAGAACAATTCGCCAGACCTGCTGGTCCGGCGCAAAGAAGAATCCGAAGAGCTTGGTGGATACTTCATTGTCAACGGTAATGAAAAGATTATCCGTTTGCTGCAAATGAATAAGCGAAACTTCCCCATGGCTATCAACCGTCCGAGTTTCACGAACCGAGGTGCCGGATACACCACGTACGGTATCATTCTTCGATCAGTGAGGCCCGATGAAACCTCTCAGACAAATGTGCTGCATTATTTGAAGGACGGAAATGTGACCTTTAGATTTTCATGGCGCAAGAACGAATACCTGATTCCCGTCATCATGATCTTGAAGGCTTTGGTGGAGACCAATGACAGAGAAATCTTTGAGGGTCTTATTGGACCCATGGGCTCTAAAGCGGCCAAGAACACTTTCCTCACAGACAGAGTGGAGCTTCTGCTGAGAACATACAAAGCCTACCGCCTCTACAGCAAATCAGAGACCCGCGCCTACTTGGGCCAGAAGTTCAGAGTTGTCTTGGGAGTGCCGGAAACAATGTCAGATTACGAGGTGGGAACCGAGTTCCTGCGCAGAATTGTCTGTGTCCACCTGGGCAATGTCGATGTCACAGAGAAGCAAGATCTTGACAAGTTTCAAATGGTTCTGTTCATGATTCGAAAGCTCTACGCTTTGGCTGCAGGCGAATGCGCCGTCGACAACCCCGATGCTATTCAGAACCAGGAAATCCTGCTCGGTGGATTCCTCTACGGACAGATTTTGAAGGAGAGGCTTGACGACTTTCTCGGAACGAGCGTTCGTGGCGCTATTCGAGACTATCTGAGAAGGCACCCGGCTGTCAACTTCACCTCTGAAGAATTCAAAAAGGAGTTTCCAGGTGGCATCTTCAGAAAATCAAATGAGAACATCGCCAATGGCCTCGAGTACTTCCTGTCCACTGGTAATCTGGTCAGTCCCTCTGGCCTGGATTTACAACAAACGGCTGGCTTCACTGTAGTGGCAGAAAAGCTCAACTTTTTGCGTTTCATCAGCCACTTCAGAATGGTTCACCGTGGTGCCTTCTTCGCCCAGCTGAAAACAACTGCCGTGCGCAAGCTGCTGCCGGAATCTTGGGGCTTCATGTGTCCTGTCCACACGCCTGATGGTTCTCCTTGCGGTTTGCTGAACCACATGACACACAAATGTAAAATTATGACTGACCATCTCGACGTGTCCAATGTTCCCGCGCTTGTGGCCGAGCTGGGTGCTGTGGAAACATCATCTGCTTCCACTGACGAGAGTGTTGTTATCATGTTGGATGGCAAGGTCATTGGATGGTCCACCCCGAAGGAGTCCCTTCGAATCGCAGATTGTTTGAGATACTGGAAAGTCGAGGGCACACACAGAGTGCCTCTGCAGCTTGAGATAGGCTATGTCCCCCCTTCAAACGGAGGTTCATACCCCGGTCTTTACCTGTCATCCACGCCAGCCAGAATGGTGCGACCCGTCAAATACCTGCCTTTACAAAAGGAAGACTTTGTGGGCCCCCACGAACAGCCCTACATGTCAATCGCCGTCGTTCCGCAGGAGATTGAGTCTGGCGTATCGACACACGTTGAATATGACCCGACTAATATGCTTTCCATCCTTGCCAACATGACTCCGTTCTCAGACTTTAACCAATCCCCACGAAACATGTACCAGTGTCAGATGGGTAAGCAAACTATGGGAACGCCTGGTACGGCCATTCGCCACCGAACAGACAACAAGTCATATAGGATACAGACGGGTCAGACGCCCATTGTCCGCGCACCTCTACACAACACCTATGGCTTCGATAACTTCCCCAACGGTATGAATGCCGTTGTAGCAGTCATCTCCTACACCGGTTACGACATGGACGATGCTATGATCATCAACAAGTCTGCTCACGAGAGAGGCTTTGGTCATGGTACAGTGTACAAGACCAAGAAAATAACACTCAAGGATGATTCGAGAACGAGAGCCGCCAAGAGCGTTGTCAAGATGTTTGGCTTTGCACCTCACAGCTACGTTAGCGCCGCATATCAAGGCATGCTAGACGACGACGGCCTACCTCATGTCGGCCGCATGGTCAAGGAAGATGATGTTCTGTGCGCATATCACACAGTCACGCCCGATTACAACGGAAACCTGGTCAACCTTGACGGAATCACGCACTATGAGAAATACAAGGACTCCGAAGTAGGTTTCATAGAGGAAGTACGACTAATCGGTGCCGAGTCTGGCTCCGAGCCCCTGCAGACCATTTCCATCAAGATCCGAATCCCTCGATCTCCCGTCATTGGTGACAAGTTCTCGTCCAGACACGGACAGAAGGGTGTCTTGTCGCAGAAATGGCCGGCCACAGACATGCCCTTCTCCGAAACGGGCATCCAGCCTGATGTCATCATCAACCCTCACGCTTTCCCATCCCGAATGACGATTGGTATGTTTGTGGAGTCGCTTGCCGGAAAAGCTGGTGCTCTGCATGGGCTGGCGCAAGACTCTACTCCATTCAGATTTGACGAAGAGAACACGGCGGGAGACTACTTTGGACACCAGCTGATGAAGGCCGGATTCAACTATCACGGAAACGAGCCAATGTACTCTGGTATCACTGGAGAGGAACTGGGTGCCGACATCTACGTCGGTGTGGTTTACTACCAGCGTCTGCGTCACATGGTCAACGACAAGTACCAGGTCCGAACCACCGGTCCAGTTGTGCCCACGACAGGCCAGCCCATCAAGGGCAGAAAGAGAGGTGGTGGTATCCGTGTGGGAGAAATGGAGCGTGACGCCTTGTTGGCCCACGGCACAGCTTTCCTGCTGCAAGACAGACTGCTCAACTGCTCAGATTACACCAAGTCGTGGATCTGCCGTCGCTGTGGATCCTTCTTGTCTGTGCAACCAACTGTCTCTCAATTTGCGCCGGGAAAGAAGAAGGCCCCAAGCATGGTCCGTTGCCGAAACTGTGCCGTCAAGTTGGACGACAGCGAGGGCATCGACCTCACGGAAATCCAGGGCGAGATTTGGGAAGATGGCCAGGGCAACTGCTGGGTTGGCGGCGATCAAACGACGCAGGTCGTGGTGCCCGGCGCGCTCAAGTTCTTGGATGTCGAGCTGGCGGCCATGGGTGTCAAGTTAAAATACAGGATAGACAAGTCCGACGAGCCTCGCAGGGGGCCGATGAAGCCGCTAAAACAGATTTCCATTGGTGCCTAGTTGGGATGTTTTGAGACAAAATGAAATGAGATTTGGATGAGACACAAAATGGGGGGCTTGGTTGTATATAATTTGGTTGGTGTTGACTGTATTAGTCAGATCTTTAGACGCATATTTGAGCAATTTCATAAGAGTATATTGGGTACCTTGCCTTGATCCTCATTTTCTGCAGGTACTTTTTTCCATTGTGACGAGTTCTTGGCGGCTCATCGGAGCACAAAGTCTCGAAGCTGATGATATCAGAATGCATCACGCATCTTGTGTTACGACGCACAAAGACTCTCTCAGTCGAGATGCACTTGCCGCTTGCAACGCTGGGACGGATGAAGCGGCAGCGCATACGCAGACGTTATTAACGATTTGGACAAAAAGGTGCGTGTGACCAAGATATAAAAAGACATGAGCCTCTCCCGTCCTTGCCGCTTCCCAGCTTAGACCCTGAGCCCTGAAACTTGGTACAGAACCAACTCGTGATCCAGTTCCAGATTCAGAAACTTATATTGCCCGTTTCAGACCAGATCCCGCCTCCTTCTCTCTTGTTGGGGCCAAGACATGGCCAAGCCACTCGCTAGAGATAAAATCGCCTCATGATCAGCTCCGGCTTGGCCCAAAAGCTGAAAAGGGGAAGAGCAACGGCCAGGGATATTCCAGGCTTGACGCTGCCACAAGCAATATCAATTCAATCTGCAGAAACACGTGGTTCCGAATCTGTTGAAAATCTTGTTTCGAGCAGCAGAAATTCGGGTATCTTTGACTGAAGTGGCACCTTGGCATTGGTAGCTGCGTTTGGGGACCGCCTTCCTTCTGTCTGTGCCAGCTGCTGATCAAGGCTTTTCCCGACCCTCTCCATTTTCTTCTATTTATCGCTCACTTCTTGATTTTTTTTTTCTCTGGTTTCGTTCGCTTCGTCCATCTTAATATCCGAGAGATCAGTGCTGTACATTTTGTCGCGCTTGGGCTGATGCTTCCTTGCGTCTTCTCTCTTTCTCTCTTTTTAATCTTGGCGCCCAGTTGCACGTTCTTCATTCTTGCCACTCGTTTCTTTTGGCAAAAGCCCGCATACATTCTTTCTTTTACTATACCATTGATTCTCTCTTACGCTCTCTTAGTACGAAACAAAATCTTGGGACGATTGGTGTGTTCGAGGCAGTGTATGCGCTGAGACTCAAAGCCGGGAGATCGCTCTTCACAATCAAGGTTGTAAGAAGAGAGGCCAACGCAAACCATGCGCCTCTTTCTGCTGCTTGCTTGGGCCTTGCACTCCATCATATCTGGAGTTTCCGGCAACGATTATGATTTCGGTGTTGATTTGGTGTCTCTCACGCGACGACAAGACCCCAATGCGCCCATCGTCGTCAGCCGCTTGCCGCTGGCTGCCAATGGGAGTATACCCCTGAGACTCGAGATCCGTGATTTACAGGCAGACAAATACAAGTGGGATCTGTACGTGCTGGCGCTGAGTATGTTTCAGTCAGTCGGCCAGGACGATCCCTTGTCGTATTACCAAGTAGCCGGTGAGTGGGATTCTGAGCCGACTTGGTTTTTAGCTACGAGGCTCTGATGACTCTCTCGATCTAGGGATACACGGCGTGCCTTTTGCCACATGGAACGGCGTTGAACCAGTAGCGGGCGCGAGCATGTCGGGCTACTGTCCGCATAGTTCTGTGCTGTTTCCAACATGGCACCGGCCATATCTAGCCCTGTACGAGGTCAGCGTTGTTCAAGTTTCTATGATTGCAAGGCATTTTGAGAAGAGATGCTGACTTGTCGCAGCAAGAGTTGCATAAGCTTGCCGACGCCGTTGCTCGCATGTTCAGCAACGCGACGGAACGTCTGCTCTACCAGCAAGCGGCCTCTGAATTTCGGATACCGTACTGGGACTGGGCATCCCCTGCGCCAGCTGGCCAAAGCCACTTTCCTGAGATATTTTGGAATTCCACATTGACTCAATACGGCCCCAACGGTGTTCAAGTCATTCGCAATCCATTGTATTCATATTCATTTCACCCCCTTGATGAGGACGCATTCATCTGGGCGCCGGTAAGTATGGACATGTATATGATGTCAGTAGCTTCTCATTCACTGACCGTTGGCAGCTGAAAAGTTGGAATGAGACAAAGAGGGCTCCAAACACACAAATCAGTGAAACAGAGCCCCCTTCAATGAATGACCAAGTGAATTCGGCTTTGCTCGCAAGACTGCCCGAGATTCAGCAGCGGCTTTACATATTGTTCTCGAGTTATCACGAATTCGATTCATTTAGCAACAAAAACTATGCTATATCCCAAAATCTTAGTCATCTGGACTCGATCGAGGCTGTCCACGATATTATTCACATCTATGGCGGATCTAGAGGTCATATGACCTACGTTCCTCTGTCCTCATTCGATCCCCTCTTCTTTTTACACCATGTAATGACGGACAGGTTGATATCAATGTGGCAGCTTCTCAATCCTACGGCATGGATGACACCCCAAATCTCAGGAGAGACGACTTATACCGCGCTGAAAGGGACCATGCAAAACTCCAGCACCCCACTTACTCCCTTCATGTCTTCAGCCAGCGGTACGTTCTGGGACTCGGACATGTCTAGAACGACTGAGGTGTTTGGTTATGCGTATGGAGACACATCAGCTCTGTATGGTGATACCAAGATCCCGCGAGACAAGCTGGTTAAGAAGATCAACAACTGGCTTGGGAAAAACAGCCCGGCTATGATTCGGTTCAACAGTCAATCGCAACGGAGGCCTAGCGGGATATGGAAAGGCAATTCAGGCACCAAAAGCTTCCAACCAAGCTCCAAATTATCCGATGTGAAAGATGCCGCTGCGGCAGAGAGGCATTATACGGAATGGATTGCAAATGTTCATGTAAATCATGGCGCTCTGGACGGATCCTTTACCGTTTATTTCTTTGCTGGAGAGCCACCAGACGATATCCTCACCTGGGGCGTCGCCTCAAATCTCATAGGGTCGGTTGGCATCTTTACGATGAACGGCATGGGCAGCTCTCAGTCCAAAATGTCTGGAACAGCACCCTTGACCATGGCCCTAATGAAGCAAGTCGACCAAAGAGCTATACAAGATCTTGAGCCGGACTCGGTGGTGCCGTTTCTACAACACAATCTACAATTTCGTGTGGTTGATATTGATGACAAGGAAGTCGACCCGGCCTTGGTGACTGGGCTCTACGTCGCAATCAGCAGCACCAGCGTGAAATTACCTGAGAGCGAGTCCGAGTTTCCGGAATGGGGCCAGCCAACACTGAGGCTAACATTATGGGAGTAGCCGATGGAAGTAAGTAGGCTTATCTATTGCCAAGTACCGCAAGTATGGGGGGTATCATAATAGGACTATGAAGTGATTGATTTGTTTTCTTGTAATGTCGAGAGGGAATCTGGAGGTCCGGCGACGCTGACTTGCTTTGTCATGTTTATATCATCAGTTACTGTACCTAATGTCTTTTCAACTCATCTACGCTCACAAGTAGCTTGCAATGGCATGTGATGCTGTCTATACCACAGGTCCTCGAAGGACTAAGGATTCAATTCTTCTCTTGGCAGTATCTAGCGCGGGGGCCTGGGATTTGTGTTTGCCACAGCATCTTGATCGAAACCGAGTCCTACCTGAGACTCACGGTGGCGATGTGATCTGCCGGCCGGGGACAAATATGCGGGGTGCTGGTCAGGAGGGTCCCGGCGAAAAGGAGCGGGTCATTTACACGGACAGACGGAGTATGTACGCATGGCCAAAGTGGAAATGATGATGTTTTTGGGATGTAGGCGTGGGATGAGCAATCGCTGTGTTGAAGAAGAAGAAAGAGACGTAGATCTATCAATTTTGGTACGGAGTACTTTTGTCTTTTAAAAATGGAAGCCTAAAAAAAAAAGATGTGGGCGGTGGTAACCGGAATGTGCTCGGCAGCTTATTTTTGTTTCATGACGGTTTCTTGAGAACGTGGGCGAGTCAGTCATTCATGGAGCTAGTGCGATGGAATGTTGTGTTTTTTTTATGGAAGGATGACGGATGAGGCAGAGATTTGCGTGGTGCTTTGTGTGCTTTGGGGGGGTGTGGGAAGAGTCTTTTTTGAGTTTTGAGTCAGTTTTGTGAGTGGGTGGACTTGAGACAGTTTTGTCTTTTGTCTATTTTGAGAATTACTCGTGTCGGAGGGACGTCTGGGTGGGTGGTGGCAGCTTTGATGGTGATTCGGGCATCATTTGGAAGTTGAGGAGGGTGTAAGTCGTACTGTATGTATGTGTGTGTGTGCATGCATGCTGGCCGAGGTATTTTTGCTTGCTTTTTTTTTTTTTTGAACGAGCAAATTGCATGCATTGTTCTAAACAAGCGTCGGATTTTATAGGGCGTCATGCATATAGACAGCCATTACAGGCGTGATTATTGTGGCGCGTTGCAATATGCACGATGCACGATGCATGAATGCATGCGAGGAGTAGTAGCAAGAGGCACTTTTGCGATTTGTTCTACTTGTACCTAATTCATCTATATGAGCGATTACTTGGAGAGAGAGGCCATGGAACCGCCGAGTTCTAGACTCTGCCTTGATGTTTATTGAGGCTGCTTGAATTGCTGCTGCCAAGCACATGTACATGACAAACAGCAGTTAGTGGTGTCCTGTGCTGTGGTGCCGGCTAAAGAAGCATACGTGTAAGCAGCAAGTGCCCAATAGTGAATATTACATGGTGCGTATTACTCCGTATTCCGAACAGGAAACAGCATGGGGACAAGTTCCAAGACGGAGGGGCGGATGAATTGGGCTCGCGGACGTCCGAAAGAGTGCGCATGATAAGCTGAGGCCTTTTGGGCAGTGGTGATGGATGGACAAGAAACAGTGAGCGGTAAAGTGGCCGATGGATAGGGCACTCCGCGGTGTTTCGGAGCTTTTTCCATCGGTAGAAGCAGAGGCAGAGACACACACATGTCCACGGACTCTCCGTATTATCGTCAGCCCATTGCCCTGGATTCAGAAAAGCCAGTGATGGGCAGGTCCTTTTTTGAGCTGAACAGCTTGCTGGACTGAGAGTGATCCGCAAGTTTGCTGTAAGTAGGCAGAGCGAGCAACACACCGACACTTTGCGGTGGGAGAGCGACGGGGACATGGAGTGGGATGCGACGCCCGGAACATGCCCGGTTTTGCTACAGATGTGGATGATGGTTTTTGTTTGTTGATTGAGTATATGCCATTGAAGAGTATGCAGAGATGCTATATATTCTTTGTATAAAAGCTCACTGACGTTGAATGGGGGTTACTGGAGTAATGTCTGACTAAGAGAGGGAGCTCGATGGAACAATGTGATCGGACCAGAGGTTCGGCATGTGGTGGCTATAACTGGTTGGACAAAGGGCATCACTACAAATGAAGCTGAAGCTGAAGCTGAGTAGCAACATGCCATTATTGCTGGGGGGCGTTGTATCACATATACGCAGCCGGGCCTCTTCCGAAAGGGGGCCCCGGGCCGAGCCCTATTGCTACCTCTTTTTTTTTTTTCGTTATGCATGTTGGTCCTTTGTTGCACGGCAGGATTGATTACGGGCTGTTGGTCGGGACGCATCGATCAGAATCGATCGTATCTGTTGTTGGGTGCGGTGGCGAGACCCAACGGCAAGACAAGAATAAATTAACCTGTGCTACCTTATTGAGACTACAGTACTATAAACAGCCCTCCGAACTCCATGTCCTGTTGACTGGGTATTTCGGCGTGTTGCACCTTGATGGTTTAGTGCGATGACTCTCCCTGCCGAGTTTATTTATAAAATAGGGAATATAAATAACTAGAACAATACCCAGCAGCTGTGTTCCAGGGCATCTCCAATCTCCATCCACGGCGTGATGGCGGCAATCCTCTCCTCCACGTTCTTTAATTCTTCTTCTCCTTCTCCAAGAAAAAATCCCCTACGCAATGTAACATCGTGCATCAGCATTAACACGCGGGCTACCCACTATTAAAGTGGTATAAGCATTTCCAGAGTGGGTTCAGAACACGCTGATCCCTTTTCCCTCATCATCTCGAACATCAAGGGCCCCCCAAAGCCAAGCCAAGCCAAGCACGATCTTAATTTTCTTTTTTTTTTTTCTTTTCAGACCAAGCGTATCGCTCCATAATTTTTTCACACCTACCTGGAACCATTTTTGCGTCTTCCCTCGTCTCCCAGCTTAGCCTTTTCGCCTATTCCCTTTTCTTCCCTTGCCTCCTTGTTTAGCGGATTAGAAAGCAGCTTAGCTTTTCATACAATCTGATGCTACGGATGCTTTTGTATGGGGGTCCGTCCGTGATTGCAGGGACCAGGGATAGAGAGGAAGGGGGGCCGATTTCGTGAAACTTTTGTGCCGAGGTCCCGCCTCTTTGTGGGAAAGAAAGAGTACAAGTTGGATGCCCACATATACTACTGTGGTTGGTGTTTTAGGTGCTGACGCCTTGCAGCGGAGATGAAGAACGGCTTTTTTTTACTGTTTCGGCGCCGAGGTGGACAGTACTTACTGCCGGTGCTATTCGTATATACCGTATTAGTCAAAGAGAAAGTCAATAGAGCGGAGCCTCCAATGGAAGCAGCATCGAACACACAGAACATGAAAGCTGAGCAGGAAGACAAAGCAAAGCTCAGGGGTATGACAAAAGAGGCCAGTGGTGGGTGCCTGGCGGACCCGGACGGGAGCATGGTTGGGGGCCACCAGTGGAAAGTCCATGGAGCCTGCTTCAGTGTTTCATCTCTTTTCTTGTCTCTCTCTGTCTTTGCTCGTTCTTTTTGCAGTTCCGGATCTTCCACCCGTTATATTGCTTGGTAATCCATCATGATAAGGAACTGCTGAGATCCTTGCTGGGGCTACGAGCTGGTTTACCAGTGACGCAGGCAAGAGATGCAGGAGCACGGAGTCGATATCCCTTTGGATGCGGGCTATTTGACTGCTTGGTTTTTTAAATCTTGTCTTTTTTGTCTCCCTTTTGTGCTACTGGACACACTTGCCTTATTGGTACTTGCATTTTGCAAAGGACGACGAGTTGTCCCGTAAGAGGTCTTGTTGACTTATCCTAGGATTGTGTTTGGGTATGAATACACCGTCATGTACTTCAACTCAGCTCTTCTACCCGTCCGTCGTCTACCTGTATCCGCATCCTCTTGGTCGTAGTGCCGCTGAGCTGGTCATATGCCACAACGCCGAACCCCTGTTCCTTGCCCAAGTGGAATAAGAGCACGCTACAAGCTGATAGTCTAGTACCTGAGACCGGGTGGGAACCTTGATTGGCTTTATCTCGGTGGCTACGGCCTGGGTGCCACAGCCACGAGTTTGACTCTCTCTCCCTTGGGACTTGCCAGGTCCCGCCAACAGCTGCGCAATAATTAATCGCACATACAGGTCCTACGTATACATGTACACATGCATGAAATAGGGTTATTTGGCCTTTGATTCAGGTACCTGGATCACCATCCAAAAAGGGCCTGCCCGGCTGATTTGATTACTACAGTGCAGTCATAGTATATAGTATAGCGCCTCACTTGCCCTTCAGCCCCGGTGGACACCCTCTCGGCCATGCCATGCGGCTGCCCATTGATTCGCTTCGTTTCTGATGTTAGTCCCATGGGTACTCTTTGCCGCCTTCAGTTTAGCAGCGGCGATGTATGAACCCATGCCCACCTGATAGGATAGCACTGCAGCTTTCATGCTCTTGTATTAGCCTCGTTCCTCCAAACTTGGCAACTTTGGCCTCCCAAGACACGGCTCAGCTAGAGGAAACGCTAAGCAAAGGCGCCGTTACTAGCGGGCCTCTTTCTCTCTAATTTTTACTCTTTTTTTTTCTTGGCTACAAGTATAGTTACCCATTCCCTTTAAAAGCACGGCATGTGGTGTGGCGTGGCCGTGGCCCTTGTCCAAGGGCGTGTTGTGTTTCTTTTCTTAGCCTCTTTTCGAAGCCCTCCATACCAAAGCCGGACCCTGACAAATGCTCAAAGAGGGCAAGGCAACGGGATACGGGAAATAAAAGGCGTCCGTGAGTTAGAAAGGGCCTTTGCTTAGCAAGCTTTCCTTGTTCTTGTTTTTTGCTCGGTTACAGACAACGAAGGAAAGCAGACTCATAGAGCGAGTAAAAAAAAAGAGTAAGCGGTAAAATGCTGGCTCCGGAGGCAGCTCCGCCGCGGCTGTCGCGTTTCCAGGTGGCACAAGTCAGATCTGGAGAAGGCAGAAGGATATTGCCATCTATCAAATCTCTTTATCGGTTTCGGCACGGGTCAGTAATGGGCACGTCCGTCAATTTGTTAATTCTACTGCCTTATACAACCCCCCCCCCCCCCCCCCCCCCCAGGACAATCACACCACAACTACTACTCATATTCGGTATCTGGGTCGTATTCGAACGCTGGATGACCGCGCGAAGTAACTCTGCAATTATCTCCGACAAGAGCGTGCATTGCATTCCCACGTGCTGGCTTGCACACTCGTACTCGTTCCAGGCAGAGTCGTGCTGCAAGTTAAAATGCGTATGTATCCTGCGCCCATGCGGGTACGGCGCTCTACTTTGAGATACACATCATTTGCCGGGTCGTATCTGCTGAGTTGCTCCCGGTACTAAGAGCTGAGAGTCTCCACTGGCGGATATATACGACATATACAAGTACAGTATATATACAGTTACTAACTAGCAGCATCGTTTATGAGCAAGTTCCACGCTCGTCTGATAAGAATCAACGCTGCAGATCAGCCCTCTCATTCTCCGCAGCAGTGCCATCTCCATGCGGCCGCTAACACGCAAAACACATGCATGTAATTGAACCTCATGCCGTCCGCAAAGGTAGCTCGCGGTACCCGAGCCGTACCCCTTTAGAAGCAGGTACCAATATTCCTTCCCCAAGGACCCCCCTGTCGTGTCGTCTACAGGGGGCACGCATCGCCGGTCCCTTGGAGACGGGTCCCCCGTCACTTACAGCAGCCCATTGCATCCTCTTGTCTCTTTGGGTCTCTCCCTGGCGTCTGTCCGTCTCTGAGGCTTTGTCTCGCGGTGTTTTCCTTGGGCTCGCCTGTCGCGCTGTTGGTGCCATGCCTGGTCGAGCTGGACTGTGTTGTTGTCTCAGTCTCATAACTTGTCACAGCCAGTCACAGCGTGTAAGTCGTAGACGGCAGTAGATGCTAGGATTACCAGGAACTCGCATGTCCACATCATATACAAGTATTGCAATATCGCACCCATATCCACACCCTTGCTCATACCCGATATCCATAGCCCATATCACTCATATCCAGAACCCATAGTTTGCTCATCCTGGGAACCTGCCTGTACCCATAGCCAGCCCAGCTTCGATCGCCAAGCAAGGCCAACTTTACTTTTCCTCCTGGGTCTCGCACTCTTACAGCATTCCGGTGGCCTGTCTCTCTTCCTCCTCCCTCCTCCACTCTTCTTTTCCTCCTCTTGACATAGAGTTTCGCATCCCTCCTCCTACTTCTCGTTTCGTACACTCCCTTTCCTTCTCTTGCCTCTTTTCCTTCTTTTTTAAGCTTCCAAGCCGAGATCCAAGACGATCGTCGTCATCGCTGTCCCCCCCCTTCCCACACCCCCTTCTCCACCTGCCATTTGAATTCCAAACCCGGGTGCGGAGATCCTGCATATTGCATGCCACGGTACACACACACACACACACATGCAAGGCTACTTTTGCGTTCTGGAACACTCTTAGAACCGAGCTGACCTTGTTTGTGCTCCTCCCTCTGAGGGGAAAACTGGGGGAGGGAGGGCCGTTTTTTTCCTGCCTCGTCCAACCCGATTGATTGGTTTTTGTGTGCTGCGTCCCAAGCCTGTGGGCGTCTTGTCTCTTTTCGGGAGCCGGGATCCTGTTCCCCCCCCTTCACGCTCACGCCGCATGCAGCTGGGGGTTTTACAACACAGTAAATTCTTTTTGTCGTTCTTGACTTCTTTGCTCAATGCTTACTTTGTGTTGACTGCTTGCATTTGGACTGCCTCGGTCATTGCCTTGTTTACAGTTTTCAATTCACTCATTCGCTTTTTGCAGCTTCTTTCTTCTCTTTTTCAAATCATTTATCCTACGACTTGCCTATATCCATTCTTAATCCACCTCAGCTGCACCCCGTTTGCAATCTCGCTCCCTTTGCTTCCTCGAGCTAATAGCCCCCCTTAGCCTCACTCTCAGCTTCTCAATCCTCATACCTTGAACAGCATACCACATACCTACATCATCACCAACCCCTTCACATGTACCACCCCATCAACACATGAAACTACACGCACGCCACGTGCACTATACTCCATCTTAAAAGACCAAAAACTGAAAAGCAGGCAAGCTAAGAAAAAGAAAGAAAAAAACCACCACTCGGACATCAAAAGCCCTATTGCCGCGCCGAGATCGAGTCCGGCGTCGACAAAGCCTCCACTTGGCTCCCGAGGCCTCTCTCCTTTGGCACTAGTTTTTTTCCCTTTTCCTCAATGATTGAGCTTTTGGGCTTTGAGTAGCGCCGCGGAATTCCATAAGTATACAACTCCGTGTGTGTGAATCGTTCACCCAAAGTCCTTGCTTGTTTTTTTTCTTCTTGGTTCTACCCACCCCCCTCCCCCTTCCCGCTCATTCTCATCCGACTCACACACCACTCATTCGTTCTATGCCTTCAAGAGACACGGGCTCTCTTTTTCTTTTCTTTCATTCCTTGATATAGGGTTTCTACCTTTTTTTTTTCTTATTTGTCCCTTGAATCTATTCATCTTTTCCATCTACAACCATCGTCAACGCCGTTCTACAACCCTCTTTCAACTTACTCAATTGCCCTTTCGGTTCTCAAACGATCTATCCCCTTGTTTAATAGCTGGTCTCTACTTTCACTCACGCCTGCAAGCCAGGTAACCCTAAAACTCACCTTACTTTTCCATCCTTGCTCTGATGTAACCCAATCTCAACCCATCACCACCATCTAAGAACCACAACCATCATCATGGCTCATAACACTGCCATGGCTCCACAAACTCCTCCTCTACGGCCTATCCTCTTTGCCGACACCAAATCAAAACCCCAGCTCCGCATAGTCGATACCTCTCTCAGCCCGGATGAGATTCACTACCTCGACGAAGACGACTTCGACAACCGGCCATGCTCCCCCCAGTCACCCGTATCATCGTCCCCCTGGGAAGACGCCACCTCAACTACATCCGCCAGCATCCCGTCCACGCCCACAACTCAAATCAGCATCCACGAACCCCTACTCTCCCACGATCTCTCCAGCAAGGCCTCATTATCCGAGCCCGTCGTCAAAGAGATCAAGGTCCCTCCCGAGTCTTTTGGGGGACCCATCGCTCACCTATCGCCGCAATGGGACCTCCGCGGCGACATCTACACCTTTTCCTTCTGGACCTCGCCAAAAGCCGCCAGCGCCCTTCCCGAACACGCCTACTCTCCCCTCGAGGGAGTCACGTCCTTTGCCGATGAGACTTACAGCCGCCCGGTTGGCGGGCTGAGCATGATCCAAATCCTGAGCTATAGGGATTCACCGATAGGCCCGTATGATGAGATGCTGGTTGCGCCGGGCAGCTTTGACTGGGAGAGAACAGAGGCGGATGGCAAGAAGACGAGGGGATGCAACCCGAAGATTACGAGGATTTACGTGTCAACGCCAAACAGCTGCTTCAACGGGAGGACGAGTAAGTACAGCTTCTTGGTGTATATGTTTATATATGCATATACATGGTTATATATCTTTCATGTTACTGGACAAAATCAAAGAATCAAGACTAACACGCTCTCCAGACTGGAACGTCCCCAAGCATCTCGCCAAATTCGTCTGGGACCACCACCCCGACGGCTCCACCACCATCAAAATCTACCCGCACGACGACCCTCTCAACGCAGACGAATCCCAGCCCAGCGCCAGGCCCTTTTTCCAAACCACCTTCAAGCCAATGTCGCTCGTCCCGCGCTTCCCCTTCGCCACCAGCTGGGCCGACCGCCTCGGCTTCAACACCACCCTCGTCATGCCCCCCTTGCCCTCGGGCAACGGCACCTACGGCGAGCTCCCCAGCACCGACCGCTGGATCAAGCTCGAGACGAAGCAGTACTGCAGCCGCAGCACGGCCGGGTGGTACGACGTCCAGCAGCCAGACGAGGGCGCTGCCTGTGGCGGGCATGAGAATTTCCTGCCGTGGCTGGGGCGGTGGCAGGTTGGCGTCAAGATGGAGGATGCGTTCCTGTCGTTTGATGTTCCGCAGGAGACGTGGGATAGGGGGAATAAACTAGACGATGCGACATCTGATGATGATAGGAATGACGACAATGACGACGAAAGAGAAGAGGAGCTACGCAAAGGACCGGAGCCAGAGAAATGGAATAAGACTTTCTTGCACGACTATTTCACATGACATCTATACATGTACTCTGATATTCGCCCTCTCATTCGACGCATCATACGCATAACATCTCTTCATCACACTCCCATACAACGTTCAAGGCAAAAGAGGGCAAGGGGGGCATCTAAAGGACGGAAGGTTTTCATCATCTAAAAAAAAAAAACATACACGTACACGACGGCGTTTTTTTTTCACCATGGAAAGGGGATTGGGATATTATCGAGCAAAAAAAAGGGGTGTCGTTTTTTTCACGGGGTCACACAAACTTACAACTTACAACTCACGCATTTCACATACATGCAACCACGCTTCTTCCCTTTTCCTTTGTCATTGCCCCTTCTTTTTCTATCGTTGATTCATACAACTTTTCATATCGTCAACTTACACGCATACGCTCAAAGCAAACTTCTCTTTACAAGCTACAACAAGTACATTTTTACACTACCGGCACAAGCACAGCACAAAACATTAATTCCAATCGTTTCCTTTTTTTTTCGTCATTCCCCCCTTTTTTTTAACATAGCGACGAGTTGATTGATTAAACATGGCTTCTTCTTTTCTTTTCTCTAATACTATATATACACTATACATAGAACGATAGAGCTTTCGTTATACTTGTGTAAGGACATGGGTGTGTTCATACCTACCCATATCCATGCGGCTCTCAGATTGCAAAATCTTCATAATCAAACATGTAACATCAAAGTCGAACAAATTAAATGTTTACAACTCAAAACTTCATAACCAGAGCATCATAACCAGAGCGTAGTATATCATATTGTGCTATCGTCAAAAAATCTATCTAGCATATTTAAATCTCAATGTCATCGTCCTTCATCACAACCCTCCCTGTTTAAAACCTTTCAAACGAATAACAGGAGAAGAGAAAATAAAAAGAATAACAAAGACCAAGGCCCATCAAACCCCCCTGCGCCATTGCAATGAATTCGCCAATCCCATCAGAGCTCTCATAAACAACCGTCCACTCCTTGCTCTCTGTCTTGTGCAGCTGTGCCATCTCCCTTGTCTAGCCAAAGTAGTACCGTTTGCTAACATATGCGCGCACACATACAAACACGGCTCCCTCTCTTCCCCATCGCCCAATTAGAAACCGTCTATAGTCTTGCCGTTCAGGCCAGGGCCAAGTTGACATGCCCATGACATGCCAATGTACCTCCTCTTTCAACTCGCTGATAAATAGTCCATAGTCTGCAAGTTTGAGACCGTATAAAAGGCCTACTCATACCCATTGACTCGCTTCCAAACATGTTCCTTGTCTCCTAATGCGGTGTGTGTAAGATCCGCCAGGAACTGCAAAAGAATTCTGCCTTCTCTTGGCTCAATCGGCCACGGCCAATCTTTGATAAGAGGTTGTTTCCCACAGGTGCTTTGCAAGATATCGTTGTCCTGATCGAGGCTTCGAGATAGAGCACGCCATACCAATCAAGATCCAAAACACGGCTTGCTCATGTTACCGAGCCCATCGCAAAGATCTGTCGGCTATCGCGTTGCTCTCTTCCGCTTTAATTTTTGTTTTCGCGAATTTTGCCGTGTCCCGCGACTACGTGTGGCGGCTCCGAGGAGCCACCACTTCTCGAGCGTAAAATTCAACGAGCATCGTGGCATATGCCTCCAGCTCTTCCACTGGAATGGCAAGTCGGAAGTCGTTGAGCACCAGGAACTGGAGTTCCAAGTGGTTCAACTCCGGCAGAGGAAGTCCGCCAACCTAGCGATAGTTAGTATCAAAGCCAGGAGAGGAAGAAACGGGTAGGTTTGTTATCCCGTGTCCGCTCACCTTTGCATATCGAGAATTGGTGTAAAAGACATCCGAGAAGAATTTGCTGGAGCAAGTTACTCCGGCAATGATCAATCGGTGGATATTGAAGCTGTCAACCACGAAATACGCCGCTGGGGTTGGCAAGCCAAGGGAGCGCTCAGCCGCGGGTGTCGCACCTCTGCCTGCCGAGCGAGCGTATCTAGACGGCGGGTCAACCATGACCTCGTCGTCGTCGTCGTCACTTTCGTCGTCGGCAAGATCTTCGTCGCTCTCATCAGGGCTCCTCGAGGCATCGCCCATCGGGGTATCATGGGACGCGACGGACATGGCCCCTCGCGGCCGCGATGCCGATGACCGTCTGCTGCCCTCGGTTCGAGACACCATGTCATTGACCTTTTCCGTCATGCGGTCAAAGTAGACTAGCAGACTCAAGAATACTTCATAAGTAGTCGGGCAGTACTTGTCGATGCGCGAGAGGTAGCTCAAGATGGTGATGGCGGGAACGTTTTTGCCGTGGAACGCAAGCACCGAGTGGCTAAGCGGACTCATCTGGGAACCGCCGTGGGCGTCTGCGTTCTGGTTGGCCTGCTGCTGGTGGGCAACATTGCGCTGCATGGCGTCGTGCTGCAGATCGTTTGTAGTAGTGATCTTGGTCAACAGAGCGGCCACCATTTCGATGACATCGCCAATAGGCATTGCGCTAATCTCGTACTTGGTCTGATGCAGCGGCGGGTCGTGGAGGATGCCGGACTGGCCCCCATCGCCAGCCAAGTCGGCTTCGGCGAGCTTTTCTATGTGCGCGAGATCGCGGATGTGGACCACATTCTGTTCGGGGACGGACGAGGCAGACGTGGACGAGACCAGGTACGAGTCGGAGCCGGCGGCCTGGCCAGATCTTAGAGGATAATCATCCGACGCGGGCGAGGGCTGTTGGTTCTGAGGCGCTGTCGGGTCTGAGGCTGTCGGAGGTTGGTGCTGGTGCTGGCCAGCTGCGGAGACGCCGTCTCCAATCTGGGATGCCATGGACGCTCGATTCTCATCGTCGGCGGCAACAGGGCCGGGAACAGCGGCTGGAGACGAGGACGGCGGCGGCGAGGGGAAGCGCGACGCTCCGCCAGAGGATGCCGAGCGCGAAGTCGACTGCGCTGCCAGCGCCTGGCCCTGCTGCGCCGACTGGGCGGCGGTGCTCCTGTTGGCGCTGGGCTGGGAATCCGGCGCTGACGCCGAGGTCGACGCCGATGCTGCTGATGTCTGAGACCGCGGCACGGAGCCAGACAACCGGTGCCGGCTGGACGAGCGGTAGGGGGCGGGATCGTGGGTCTGGCTTTCCTGGCGCTGCGGTATGGCGGACGAGGAGCTGGAGATCATGCTGTGGAAGCGCGCGAGGTCAGGAACAAAGTCGCCGATTACGGCTGCCATTGCATCGTATGCGGGAACAGGGGCGCGCGTGTTGGATCAGAGGCCGTGGGCTTGGTTTGGGTTGGAAATGGAGATGCAGAAGCAGATGGCGATGCAGCTTCTGTCTGGGTTTGGGAGGAGGGGGGCGAGAATGCGGCTGCGACGGGTCCGGCAAGCAAGGAAAGGCAGAGAAGAAAGAAGATGAAGTATTAAAACAGATGACCGGCAACTAAAGGCGCAGGAAAAGTCATTAAAAATTAGCACAAAGGAAAACAGATGCGTGTGCAGTCGTGAAGGAATTCGAACAAGACAGCTGCGACAAGCGCAGTTGGGCTGGGGAGGAGAAGAAGAGGAAAAAAAATGGAAGAGGCAACGCGAGTTAGAGATCCGGGCCGCATGGAGACAAGTCGGCAAGAGGCGCTGGCGGTTTAGGGGAGCTGCGCGGCGAACGAACCACTGGGCCGTGGTGAAGGCGTGCGCTGCAGGGGAGCGCTGTAGTGGCGGCCACAGTGGGTGGTAGCGGCTGTGGGGGGCTCTTGGTGGACGGGAACAGTGGGCAGTGAGGGGAAGAGAAGCTGAACCGTCGAATGGTTCGAGCACATGCAAAGGCCGTCGACTTCAACGACAACACAACGGGAGAGAGATGTCACTTGGCATCTGCCTCTGAGAGATGAGGGCTTTATTTGCTGAGAAGCGAGATGGTGACAGAGGGTTTCTCTTCCTCTTTTTTCTCTCTTTTTCTTGTCTCCTTTTCTCTCTCTTGGATCTTCCTATAACAAACAAGCAGCCCTTGCTTCCCAATCTCACACAACTGCCACATGCAAGGAACCTCGAGACGAGAGAGCAAAGCCCCGACATCGCTCTCTCGGTATCTTCCAACGCTTTTGCGTCGTCCCAAGCCGTGTGGCATCTGGCGCTGGTGATTTGACATGAATCAAGGCCGCTCAGCCCCTCAGCGCCAGCCATCCATCCAACCTCAAGGCGATCTCCGGTGGCTCTCGACCGGGCCACTGTGGCGCCGCCGCTCAACGTCACCTACAGCCTCGGTGGCGAAGGGGAGCGCGCTGAGGGGTCCTTGGGTCCATTGATATTCAAGACAATTGAGCCTCTAATGGCAGCGGCAGTGCAGAGCAGAGCTGCACGCAGCGGTGCTAGGCGGAGATAGGCAGGTCTGGGCAGTGGGATATGTAGGGAGCTTCTAAGCTTGTGGTGCCTGGAGCTTCGGGGACAAAAACCCTGCCCTGCAGAGAGGCATCGACGGTTCATCAAAGCGGGGACCTGCAATGCGAGCAGAAGAGGAGGGGCAGAAGCAAGACATGAAGAAAGAGGGAGGGGAAGAGACGAGATGAAAATCGTTGCAGACTCACAGCCTAATGAACAGCAAAGAGAAGACGAGGCTCCCTCGATACTGTGATGCGAGATAGTATGGTTAGACGATGGGATGATACAAGTTCGCGCGTATGTGTACGGATGAGGGGTTGGGCTCCAATACAGCCAGTGACGGTTTCTATCAGAAGCTGGATGGGTGAAGACGCCAGCGAAAATAGAGCTGTTTGCCCCCAAGCAAATCCGGCCACGAGCAGCACGGCTCAATCGGCCTCACGATCGGATCGATCTCGAAGGAGGAGCGCAGAAGAGTGAAGGGCCAGGGTTGTTTTCTCGGGACAGAAACCCACGAGGCGGACCAGCCACAGGAGCAGAGGAGAAGCCACCACCACCACCGGGCAGGGCGATTGCCAACTAGCAATGTTGTATGTGCGTGTGTCCAAGCCTCGTTCGGGTAGGCCAGAAGCTAGCCGTGTATAGACAGAGGCTGCTATTACGCTTTGAAAGCCTCGATATAGGTACAGGTAGTAGAGAAGATGCGGACGTTTGGGTCTGGGCTCGAGCCACTGGGAAAAGAGGGGGGATGGGGAGACAAGGAACTGCAGCAGTGCCGGGAGAAGAGAGAGAAAAGGATGGGAGAGAGGGGATAAATGGAATGCACCAATGTGTGTGCCAGCCTGTGCAGCTGTATATGTACCTCTATCTGTATGGATGTAAGTCGCCGTGCGCAGGGCAAACGGGTTGGCGGTGGAGATGCCGATGCAATGCAGCAAGAATAGACGCTTCAGCGTATAGATCAAGAACAAGAGCAGCCTCGACTTGATGGTGTTGAAGAAACCCAGAAGCAAATGCACGCTTCTGCTCCTCCTGGACCTCCTCTCGGCGGTGGAGAAACGAAGCAGGATGCGGCTGATAAAGAGATATGACGATGAATTATTGGGAAGAAGGGAAAAAAAAAACAGGTTGTTACGAGCGAGATGGGAACGGGGCCACCCGCGATCAGGGCACAAGCAGGAGGGTGTGTCCACTGCTCAGGCACTATAAGTAAGTGCTCTGGTTTATTGATACTGGCAACTGAGCATATCGGACGTGTTTTTGTTCTTCTCTTCTCTCTGCAAATTCAGCTCAGCTCAGCTCAGCTCAGCTCGCTTACTCCTTTGTTCGAAACACCATTCCGTCATCCCAGATTCACAAGCACAGCTAACAAACAGGGAGAATGCCTGCAAATCCAGCAACAGCGATAAGCAAAAGAGAACAAATAAGAGCAAGTACCAAAAAAAAAGGCATAAACACCACCCTCTTCTGTCCAACCCTCGTCCAACGTGCCCCCTCCAAGCTCCGATGCTGTACAAGCATGGGCCCATGCTCTGCCAAACCGCCCCCCATTTCGATGCTTCTCATAGGCCCCAGACGCTTAGAAAAGCAGCTTCGCTTCTCAGCCAAGACATGCCGCACGTGGGCTGCTCAAAAGGTCCAGAACTTGCAAGGGGTGCCTTGTTTACTGCCTTGGTAAGCAGCTTTGGTCGCTTGTGATTGGCGGCTAGGCCAGGTGCAAATGCACACAAGCAGAGAATTAGCGGCGGCGACCTTGTTTTTAGCAGCACGAACGTTTAAATCGTAGCTCATAGGCTGTTAACGTGCCGCGCAGCTTCCAATCCCCATCTTGATGCTACTGATGTTTCCTCTTTGTAATTGCAGTGTGTTCAGCGTTGCATCTCTAATTGAGCTTGACGAGTACATGAAAAATACATGCATGAGGCAATGTCGCATTTCCAAGTTGTGCGAGGACCCCTATTTCTCCTTGTCTCAATTGATGCCATCACCTCCATGCCCATCACTGCCGTTTCTTACATGGCCCAATACGTCAGCTCCCCTCAATGCCACTCAAAGGCTCTCCAATGGAGGGGGGACCATGACAGGATGAGAGTCGCTGCCAGGCTTGGCTCCGGCGTCACTAAAATGCTTATTTTCGCCGATCTGCGGTCCCCTCAGTGGATTAGTAGCTTTACAACAAAAAGCAATCAAGATATAGGCATGCCATCAGTAATGTGTTATGCAGTATGCTGCAATGCATCGCCTGTAGGGGGAGCAAATTTGTAGATCAGTGCTTCTCCCACCCGCTGGGAGCTGGATATGCATACTCTACCATCATCGTCTCAACGGTGCGGTGCAGTGCACCCACCCATTTATCGCAGGGCCAGCATTCAAGTTAGCTTGCCTCTGCCTTTGAGCCGCAGTGCACATCGTTCATTGAGATCATTTGCCTGGGATCACCAGCCCTTCCCCCCGCGATGCCCAAGAAAGAGATTGCTCGTATGACCTGTTTTGACTTGTAGTCTGCAGGTATCATTTGCCACAACTCCTAGGCTTAGTGCCTACCCTACTGCCTACGTCACATGCCGAGATGGGCACGCTTGAACATGACAACACAAAGGCCGGCAATATGCCTTTTGTCGCTGGATTAGCCTTGTTGCCTAATGCTGTTGAATCTACCAGACCCTTCGTCCCCCCAGTACTATTTGCATATCTACAACCTTACTAAATAATGTTGCACGCATGATAGAAGCAGTAAAAGCGGCAGGGATAGAGACATTACCAGTTAAGAAGGCAGAAGTATAGAGAGACCAGAAGCAATAGAACCACACGTGTCAGTGTATAGAAGAGACTCTTCGCTGCCAGATATCCACATCCGCATGCAGCGAGGTAGGGAACATCTTTCAATTACTTGCCCAGCCCGCACCAGCAACATTTTTTGAAGACCATGTTCTTGTACACGGAGCAGTAATTGTAGCCACCCCCATTGTTCAACTTCATCTGTCTTCTTCTCTTCTCTTACTTAAATGCACAAGGCTCTCACATTTGTTGCTACATTTGAAAGAACCTTGTTCCCTTTTCTTTCAACCTGAATTCTCTCTATTGAGACAGCCAGCATAACCCTCGTTTATACATCTTAAAGACCAGTAGAATACTCAGGCAACTTATAGCACAGCCCTGGTCGGTTCCTTCAAGTCAACATTTGATCTCATCATTCCATCTTCACTCGCTTCAATAACCGAGTATCCAATTAACAGTCACCGGCATCTCATTGTCTCTAACAAGTATGGATCTAGTCGATCAGTCTATTGTCGACTGCCACCTCAGCTATACAGCAAATGCTCATGGACTGTTCACACGGCCATGCCTATTCTGCCATCATCCACCCATCTAGTCCTGTCGCACCTTGTAGTCTGAATCCGGCAGGTACAGGTGTCGGTCGGCTCCCTTCTTCGTCAATACAACCATGCGAATAACACCACCAGAGCTTCCATCCCACTTGATCGCTTCTCTTAGCGCGCCCTTGACAAAGGCGACTGCTTCTGCTTCCTCCATGCCCTCCTTCCAATTGGCGTCACAGTATCCGTAAATGTATGTCGATCCTGAACCGCCGATTGCGTATGCCTGCTTGTGCAATGAACCTCCTAGGGGGATGGAGTACACCTGGCCGCCGAATCGCTCGTCCCAGCCCGCAATAATCAGACCAGCTCTATGCTACGTTAGCACTCACTCGCTCATTCTTTCCATGGCTCAAGTGAAAACAAGATGTTACTGACGATAATCTGTCCTTGTTGGCGTAGCAAATCTCCTGGAAGATGGAGGCTGCAGTCTGTGTCATCGGGGGCTTTCCGCTCTGCATGGCAAAGAGACCCAGTTGGTATTGGACAATGTCGGCAACGGCTTGCGTATCGGCGGCGGAGCCAGATCGGCAGCACCAGATGGTGTCGTGTACTCGGGTCAGCTTGTCTGTTACTCGATTGGCGATGTAAGCGCCGGTGGTTGTCCTCGAATCAGCTCCTATAGGCCCGGTAGTCAGCATCCATCCCTAAAGGTGCGCCTCTGATGGTGCTGTCATACCCAGAATAACTCCATCCTTGAATGTCACAGCCATGCTATCGTCTGGTTAGGTCGCTATTCGTTTTGGCGGGGTGGAGGAGCATACATAGAAGTACCCAAGCTGGCATTTGGTTAGTAAAACAATCTTGATGCCATAATTTCTAGATATTTATGGACTCACTTGACTTCTCCCTTCTTCAACCGATCCATATCGACATGAATGCCATCTGTTTGTCCATCAAGTCAACGAGGGGTCATCGGCAGAATGCCGGGCTGCAGCTCGCAAACCGTACCTTCATTCAGCACACCAGCATGGCCAAACTCCATTGTGACTGAAGAATTGCAATGTAAAATCGTAAAGGTATCGGTAGATTCGAGGGTATCGCGGATGGCAGGTCGTCGATGTGCTGTTTGGTGGTTGCGTAGCTGCGCTGATGTCTGGGAAGGCTGGAGCTCGCTGCTAGCACTACCGCCACATCAAAGCTCAGGCAGCTCTGAGAACGCGCAGCCGCGCCGTCCGGCCCCACATTTGCGTCAACACATGACATGACACGTGATATAAAATAATCAGGATGCTATTAGCAGAGATGACGGCATTTAAGTAGTATAACCAGTTGGATATAATGGAGGATTGCACGGAATTGATATGCTAGAGGTTCCCTTATGGGTTAGATACAATGGTTGCTCAAAATCCATGCATGTGCTGCAGTATAGGGCAGGACCGTAGTCCAAGAATGAGCTTCTGGACCGTCCAAGAAGCGCTATATCAAGAGAAAAAGACGTAGGTTTGCCTGCTACTTTTCTAAACAAATTACAGAGACGATTCGCGAGTCTATTTCTAGTTATTATTACGATTAATCCAAATCTATTCTTTGGCCAACTCCGTGTCAACCGCTTTGCCTTCCTTCTTCTTCTTATCTTCATCTCCACAGCCACAGTCATAAAAGTCACCAATGTTGTTGCAGTCAAAGATGGGTTTCTTCAGCCTCTCATTGACTAGGTTATGTACGAAGCATAGCCAGCCAGCGGCCGCGTTGCGACTGCTCGTCTGGGGAGGGTAATCCTCCAAAATGCCCCGGAAGTGCTTTGCGCAGTCACCGCATGGATATAGCCGGCTGAAGAGATAGACAAACGACTCGAGAGTCTTGCGTTCTTCCGGTGTAGGCTCTTCGGGGAATCGAGCGACCATTGTATGCATGAATTTCCATGTTGCGCGGCCTAGTTCGGCTCTATATCGATGGGAGAAACAGAAACGTTAGGGCCAGCTGCGTACAAAACCAATGATACCAGCAATAGCATCATGGGCGAAAGGGAGAGAGAGGGAGAGAGACATACTTGAGCGTTGCATTCTCCAGCTTGGGTGCTATTGACTCTCCTCCAAGCAGACTAGCCGGCATATCAGGCAGGTCCACTTTGAACTCCGACCTGGATTCTGCCGGCGACTCGCCCATCGGCGCCGGGATTCGATCCACATGGTGGCTGGACGAGCCCGAGAAGAAGTAGGTGATGCTGAAGAAGAGGCACACGCCCAGCAGGATGGACAGCGTGAGGTGCTGACGGCGCGCCATGGTTTGGAATGGCAGGAGAAGAGAGCCTCTCTCTCCCTCGAGCTCTTTAGACAGGAGAAGGAAGGGGAAAAAGAAGCCACGGTTTATCAGGGGATTTGTCGCATGATGGGCTCGAGCCACAGCCGCGACGCCACAAGGGCGAGATGATGGGCCCACGTTTTCGCGGAGGGGGGTGGGGTCAAAGTTTGTTGTGCGCAATCTGGCGCCACAGATGTTAGATGCCGGGCGATGGCCGAGATCAGATCTGCCCATCTGACATGGCGATTCAAGTTGCTGGAGATTTGTTGCCCGCAACCAAGAGCCGTATTACGCGTGTGCGGATTGGCGATCAGATCCCAAGCGGCCAATTCTGCTGGTGTTGCATTCGCTGGATGGGATGCTGATGCTGTATGAGCTGATGATTACTTGGGATGGAGAGTTGGAGCGGAGGATTTACGTTTAGCGCCTATTTAGCCGACTACCCTGTAACCCGAATAGGTCAGTAGAGGGGATTTGCAAAGGTTATTGACCGTACAATGGCCATGTTCCTCTTGTATCACCCGGTTTTCACTGCTTATGGGTACCCAAGGTAGAGAATTGCTTTGTGTGGCCAAGTTTCTCACGCTTGCTGACTTGTACTCGTAGTACGCATATCGGCATGTTGCATTAGGTTCTTGTTTGCTGCATTGCCACTGGCTAGTCCACGAATGGGTCGTCAGCGTGCAGTTAAGAATCACGATACTAGTATTGGCGATCCGCAGAGGATTTACCCGCCGTCAGCCAGCCCATGCTGCTGCAGATTCGTCTTTATGACACCGCTACACTCTTCTCTTTCAACCAATATTTTCTGACTCCGTGAGCGGTACAGAAGTAGAGCCGGGCGATCTGGTCTGGCGGGATCCATCTCAACCCAGCACTAACGAGCAGTGACATGTCAAGATTAGAATGAACGGAGCCCTCATTATGATATCCTCTGTCTCAGCGTGGACAAACTGCTGACAATCTGATCCGACTTTCGTCATCGCAACGGTCCCATTGCGGGAAGACCCTTGAATATGTAGGTGTATGTACGCACGTCAATCTTATCGACATGAAGGATTTCGGTGGCCCCCCTGTTGGGCCACCACAGTAAGCAGCGTCTACATACATAAGCCCGACAGGGCCTCTTCGCTGCCAGGCTGCCGCTCTTCTCTTGAAGCTCTGTCCCGCCAAGATCAGTCATTTGTTTCTGTTCCCTTCAAACGACGAAGAAAAGAGAACAATGGTCCGCGGCAAAGAGCTATCGCCGCAACAGCGATCGCAGATCTGCGAGCTGCACAGTCACGGCTATGGCTACAGGCGAATATTCAAGCTGCTGGCAGAAGTGCCGCTTTCAACCATCAAATACACTTGTCAGCAAGAGGCTAAGCGCAAGGAGAACCAGAGCAGGCCTCGGTCCGGGGCACCGCGGAAGTTGCAAGTGCCCAGCAGAGGGCCACGCCGGCGGAAGGACTCTTCGCCAATTCCTGTTGACGACGTGATGCCGCAGAGTTACTCCGAGTTGGATGCTACGCTTCAGAACGTCACTTACCATGACCTGCTGGCCATGGTGGATTGGTCGATATTTCCTACAGAGCAGCTCCATCCGATTGATGGTATAAGTCTGATGGACGATGCAGCAATAGCTCGAATTGATGCCGCAGTAACTCGGATGGATAACTCGATAGCTCATATCGGCAATACATCGCCTCGAATGAACGACATGGCAGCCCAGATGCATCATCACATGCACCCAATGGGTGATCCTACGACGCTTATTGATACTACAATGCCCCAGATCCATGATATGACACCTCATATTCATATAACGCCTCATACGAACAACATGACTCCTCACATCAACGACATACCTCACATCAACGACATAATACCCCAGATCGAGAATACACACATTGACGATACAATAGCCCAAATAAACAGCCTGGCGGCGGATACAGACTTGAGTCTGGCATTCCAGGATCCCATCTACCAAGAGCTCTCTAATCACGACCTCCTCGCCCTGGTCGACTGGTCAATTGTATGGTGAAACAAGGGCGCATCGTGATATAAAGCTTTTTTCTTACGAGAAGTAGATGAAAGAAAACGCCGAGAGTTATATCAACGCACCGTTCACCACGTTGCCCCTGGCTGGTCTTGGGCCGAACGGATGGATGACCTCGTGGCTTGGACTGGGCTATGGTCTGCCACGGCCTTGAGAGGGGCTTCGTGATACCCGCTGGAGCAAGCAAAACTGCTCAATGAGATATGATATGGGACCGATTTTGGAGGGAAAAAAAAACGTACAATCCAGACCTACTTCGGATATAGGACATGCTCGGGCTTGATCGCCGCTGGTGGCGGGTCAGGCTCCAAACCCAAGTTACAAGCCTCTTTTCGATTTGGCTTTTCTGACCTAGAGCCTGCCTGGCATATGATATGGCGATATATATATGAGAGAAAAAAAAATTATTCTTCATGGAGTTATGGCTGGGACTAAGATCCGGCTGCTGGTCTCTGCTGACTTGGATTCAGTAGACAACCTTGGAGCGCCGATGAAATAAGAAAACAGTATAGATTTATAGATACATTGAGCTTTCAGATGCTCTCGATGCAATGGAAGTTTTGTTCTTATTTTGCCATCACAGGGCGTAGTTTCTATTCAGTGTTGTTTTTGACCGACTTTCGACAACGTAACGGATCATTGGGCATAAATCGGGTTTTCTAACATAAATGTCATTAAGGACAAAACTCTCAGCATTCCATCAACTATAATAGCGGTTATATATATAAGATAAAAGACGGCACATATATATTTTGTAAGTACTACTTTTTTTTTGCATTGCATAGTACTACACAAGCTACGCACGTGGACATTCCATCAGAAGTAGAGAATTGCGAGCATAACAAGAAGAATTGTAGTAAATAACCTTTGTTAATCATGATGTATAGCATCTATGAGCGCCTTCCTCTTTATACAACAATGTCAATTTGGAGAATTGATGCAGGCTGTTTTACATAAGGTGGCGGCTGATATATCACGAGAGAGAAACTAGAGTATCAAAACGAGACTTGACAGTAGCGCCCCATCAACGGCGTATATTGTTGACAAACAAGATGCATGGCCATCTGTTGAAGGCATCATCCAGATTGATTCGTCTGGCATTCGCCAATGACCATATTCTAGGGTAAATAATAAAATTTATCTGCCAAGCGTTTGAGAATTGGCTAAACATTTAGCTCAAGACTACGCAGCACCAAGCGACGATGAACAATTTGAACTAGGACCAGCCCGTATTCTTGGCAGCGGCGGCTGTTGATAGACTTGCCCCTTTTTCTGGAGTAATACGAGCAGTTATTGCATGATGAGCCGAAAATGAAGATACACCTTGCCGTAAACAGAGGTGGTTATTCCGGTGGGTTTCACTACGCTATCCAGATGGGTTCGTGATAATGACAAACATATGTTCACATATCGAGCAAGACATGGGAGTCACAAGGCTGAGGCTGATTCACCCCAATGCCATCTAATCGCAGCCAACCCGATACTGCTCTGGCGTGTGCCGCAATAGGCGTCAGTAGTACAGCCATATGGGCACGGAGTATCTAGTCCGTGCTCGTATCGGGAGCACTACGCCAATATTGGTCGATTACGGCAGACTAGAGTAGCATCGCATGCTTAAAAAAGAAACAAAAAAAAAAGGAGGCCCCATCCTTGTCCCGTCTCGGTTCGAGGAGAGAGAGGCCTCTCTCAGCTTCTGCTGAAACACAGGACAGAGAGGGGGGGAAAAAAGTAGAGAGAAACAAAACATCGGGGCCGTGTTCAACACACGCCAAGTTGCTGAGACTTTCCACATTCCGTGAGGTTTGAAACACAAGAAAAAAAAACACAAAAAGAGTGTTTGTTACAGAGTGAGCACCGCCATTCCAGCTGAGGGTGGCCAAGCTTGGACGCGGTGGAAATGAGGGCCTGCGGTGTAAACGGTGTACGTGAGGATGCCAATCCAATAGCGGCTGCTTGGCCAAGCCCCGTAATCTTACACGAGAGCCGTATAAGAGAATCGGTGCATATCGTAAAGACGCGTCCCAAAGAACGGCTACTGCCGCTTCAGTGCGTCGGGAAAGGCCAGACAATCGGGTGAAATGAGGGCTGCACGTGTACAATACGTTGCATGCAATGTACATGTATCCCCGAAGGCTGATGATGCTGGTCCCAACGGCAGAAGTGGCTGCTTGGTACCTTGCAGCGGACGATGACACGGGCCACGCACACGTTGAGAGGGATCCTACAGCACAGATACAGCATGCACGAGCTTCCCTGTAGCGTCGGGAGCGATGGATTTGGATTCGTCCATGAGTACATGTACAAGTGGTGAAAACCCCGTTTTGGTCGAATAGCAGCGCGCCTCATCATGCCTGCCGTACACACCGAAATGCACGTAAAATGAGCACTTTGACGTGGCGGTCATCTTGGCCGCTTTATCAGGTGCCTGTGCATACAACGGCATCTTACAGTAAATGAGCTGATTTCAATCTTGCTCTGTCCTCTGATTATTGGCTGGCCTGGAAGGTTCCGGATCTGAGTCGATTTGCGCCGCATGAATTTGGACGGCTGGCGGCTACCTGATAGCAGTAAATGATCTACACGCGGTGCCAAGCCGATGTACACGCTACTAGAATTGCTGCAATTAAACGCTTATAACGCGGCTTGCACGTGTACCGACGACTCGGAAACAGGCTCTTTCGCCTTTCCTATTCACACTCTGCGGCTCACTCATACTGCATATGGCCAGCACTTGTATACGGAATTATTGACAGCCACCGTCAATGGCAATGGCGCGCAGCCTCGTCTGCTCTGCTTGGCGCCAGGAACCAGTCCAGTCCAACCGTCGACGCTAAGCCCACTGACAAGCAGGGCCCCTAAACTGCGATAGGCCGCTACAGGAGGGGAAAACCACGCAGGTGAGGAAAAGCTCGGGTTCGACGCCAACGGCCAGCCTGAAGCAGCCGCGGCGGTGCACTGTACGGAGCGGCGTGGGCGCTAGACACGGACAGAAACAAAACGGATGGACGGAATAGGTAGAAGAGAAAAAGCACAGAGTATATACAGTAAAAGAAACAAACGGTCCAGAAAAAGAGGATAAAGAAGCCGGCGCTGAAGAATCATGAACATGTACTTTGCAGTACAATGAGCAGTGCAGAGTGACTTTCCAAAGAGCTGGCTTCTCTCTCGGCCGTTAATATTAAAGGCACGACGCCAATCCTGCGCCGAGACGAGCTAACACCTGCTAGCGCTCTCGCTATTGGCCCAGCAGCCTTCCCGGCGCCAGGGGTTCGCGCGGGTGCTCGGACAGGCTGATGCGCAGGTTCCTCGCAGGTCACTTTTGCTGTACTCCGTACCGTGACCCTTGTCATGGACCAGCCAGAGCTTGGCTTTTCCCAGCGATTGTAAGCTCATGGGTCCCAAACTGGGCAGCTCCCGGAACTGGAACGCGACGGCCTCTCTTTTTGCGGATTCCGGAGCCTGGCGAGGGATTTTTTTGTTTTTACTGTACGTGTGTGGCAGGCAGGCTATTCCGTGCTCGTCCAGGACAGTGAGTGAGCGTGTGTGCCTGCGCGCAATGAAGTGTGCATTAGCCGCATGTCGTGAGCTTCTACTGCTTACGTCCGACTTATTGGGTGAGCAGACAAGTACAGTAAGAGCGGTATGCTGTATTTCTCCTTGGCACTGCAGTGGTGCTACCTTGGCCTGGTCGTTCGAGATAGTATTGCTATACTGTACAGCAATTGAACCGTAGTACACGGCCGGTACTTGTCCGAAAGCAACGAGGCCATCGTGGAAATGGCGATATCTTTCTTGTCTTGCTCTTTCACCGCGCACAGGCATGTGGCAGTACGAGCGTCGTGGGCTCAGGAACAGGAACCCTGCGCTGCTGAGTAAAAAAGCCACATGCATCAACAATTCAAATCTCCAGTGCAGGCGGTCTTGTCCTCTGTTGCACGGCATGCCTCCGCCACACTTCGGCAGCGAGCTTGAGCTTGATTTTCCCACGGCAATCTGAACCACTGGCGATTGATCGACAGGTCCAGAAGGGCCTGGAGGAAAAAAAAAACACACAAGATCATCGATAATCCATACCACCGCTCTCCGGGCGCAAAGACTGGCAATGGCAGAGAAAGAGAGACGAGGTACTTGCGAGGTACCTGATGAGGCGTCTCGCCGCACCACCAGCTTCTAAAAAAATCATCCGTAGCGTGGGCTCGTGGGCCCCTCAGCCAATGGGGCGCCAGGCCACTGTTTTACCCCTGGCCCGCCTGTGCTGTCCCCCTTCAGGCGCCGCGATGGACCGGTACCTGATGCGCGTTTAAGCCATGCCGCCTGTGCCCACCAGAAGCCGTAACGCTAGGCCGCCCACCGCAAAGTACCGCACTATTTTTCGAGAGCCATTGTGTGCGGTGCCCCGCCCCTGCCACAGGACGGACAGGCGCAACCCACGCGCTCGCCCACCGAAAAGACGCGGCCCACCATGTGCTGGCCGCTGCCAGTCCCGTTTTGGCGGGTGCAATTTCCAACCCTCGCCGCCTAGAACGGCACGAGTGGCGGTGCTTTTTTCTTTGCTGCTCGCTCTTTGAGGGTCGCATGAATCAAAAGTTTCTTTCATCAGACGAGGGATCCCTCGTTAAGAATCCTTGGGCTTGGCTGGGGACAGGGGTAGAGGATCCCTGCAACGAAAGAGAAAAAAAGCCTGGAGCAGCTTCTCTCTCTCGGTCTCTCTCGCTTGCTTCGTACTGTACAAGTACTGTACAAGTACATGCAATGCCATCTCCCGCCAGTCCCCAGCATTGGACCTCTGGCTGCAGCTGGCGGTACCTGGTTTGCCGCCCGTTGACGCATGTTGGCGCTGTGTATCGCATCCCCGGCCGACGTTGTACCCCGTTTGGGCCAATGCGCCGCAACGTTCATGTTGGTCACCCTCCATTCCAGAGCATCGCCCCCAGCCGCGGTGTGACATCGGGAGAAGAGAATGGAGGGAGGCAGAAGAACGAGGGAGAGCAGAGAAACGCCACTCGCACCGCTGTTGGTGTTGTCGTTGCAGGTGAGCCATCACCGCCTGTACTCGCGCAGCGGCCCCAATGGCGCAGAGTGCAATTACCGTCTTCTTGGCTTCAGTCTCTTGCTGCCGCCCTGCGCACTGGCATGTGCTCCATTAGTCGTAGCATCACTCTGCAATACAGTACAAGTACCTACAACAACAGCACGAAAAAGGCATGTCCCGGCCTTGCCTTGAAAGTTGAAACTCTGCGGAGAGCTCCCGTGGCATGGCATCCCCTGTCAGCGCCGCGCACTGCGCTTGGAGGTACCGGTACAAGCCCGCCGGCATGCAGCCCCGTACCCTCCAGCCCTGCTGCCCGCAAGAGGCCCCTGCACGGTACCTGCAACAGTACCTGGCCCTGCACCCGCTGGGCGGTATCGCGACCCGTCGTCGCGCAGCGCTAGAGCCCATCCGACTTAAACAATTTCTGCTCTGCTGCTCTGTCGTCTCCTCGTTTTCTGTCCCCTGCCAAAAGACCTCCCACACCCCCCTGTTTTGTGTTTCCCATCCACAGTCTCTCGTTCCTCGTTCGCTTGCGGCGCAATCTCCAAGTCTTATTTCCTCGCCCTCCTTCCCTTTCGTCGTCGTCCTCCTTCCCTTTGCAATCCATCGCCATCCCGCTCATTCGACAAACTCCCGCCAGGCGACGTGGTTCCCTCCCTTTATCGACTTCTCGACCCCCAGCGCTGCTCGCTTCGCGCGTCAACGCCGCTCTGTCGAGAACTCCGGCGTTTTTCATGACTTGAACGACCCCAGGGGCCTCGGGAGGTTCTCGCCACGCTTTTTGCTTTTCACTCTCGTTCGAAAACTTGCGAAAAACCAGGCTCCCCACGATCCAACGCGGCTGCGCTCCCCACGGTGACGGACGCTATATGACGATTTATTCAACAACCCGACGCTCATTTAATTGAATTTTTTATTTATACCGCACATACGTATTACAAAATGTAAGTGTTTTATTATCGGATATCGCTTGGTGGTGGAAGGAGGGATTGGTTATTGGTGGGAAGGCGTGTAAGAGCGAGGACAAGAGGAGGCAGAAGCAACGCAAAGGAGAGACGAGACGATTGCGCTCGAGGTGTCATGCGGTCGGCCGCCGGGTATTTGCTTGTTCTTGATATCAACGCAATCTAAAATTGCATGGCTCAATTGGATAATGTCGACAGCGGGCAGATTTGAAGACCCATACGCTCGTGTTGGGAAAACACCAGATTGTTGACACGCTGGAGAAGCTCTCCGCTGACCTGACATCGCAGACTAACACGCTCTTTGACATTTGTCAATTACATTCATTGAAAACTGTTCCTGGCAGTAAGGCGCTTCGCTGAATTATATTCGTCTTCTCACCGCTAACGGATCGGATAGTATATTTGGCTTGCAACATACAACTATACGCTCCTTTAAACCAGGGAGGAATATATACACTCACATTCGTTACTCTACGCGGCGACCCGGAAACGATTCGCAACCATGCAGACCAAGGTTTTCGCCTTGGCGGCCACCTTTGCCTTGTCCGTGGCCGCCTCCAACGCCGAGCGTCCCAAGTTCTACTACCCTCACAAGATCAAGCGCGAGGTGGGCGGCGTCTCCAACTCAACAATCTCCCACACGACAACCAGCTCCACTGCCAGCACTTCTTCTAGCAGCACTACCAGCTCGACGACTTCTCAAGATTTGGCCGACTACCTTTCCAGCCTTCTGGCGGGAGCGGGTGCTGCTCACTCAAGCACTTCAAGCACCTCGAGCACCTCGACTTCTGCTACCAGCTCGTCAGCCATCAGCTCATCGGCCAGCAGCTCAGCCGACAGCAGCTCTTCCGACAGCAGCTCTTCACAGGCCAGCGCTTCTCCATCAGGCAGCGTGACGACCATTGTTCGACAAAAGACAATTGTCGTTACGGCGCCACCCGAGGGAGCTACCCCGACTCCTCCTCCTTCTGGAGTGTCTAGCTCGGATTCTGCTTCTCAGTCATCGGCTGCTTCTTCCTCGGCAGATTCCAGCTCTGCTTCCTCAGTTGCTGCTCAGCAATCTTCTAGCTCAGCTGCTTCCTCGTCTGCCTCGTCGTCCCAAGCTTCTAGCTCGGCTTCCGATAGCTCGGCCTCTTCTAGCGCAGCCACCTCTTCTGGAGCCGCCTCTAGCCCTTCGGCCTCGGCCAGCTCTGACGGACTTGGTCTCAGCCTCGGCCTAGGACTTTCACTCGGAGGAAGCTCGACAAGCTCTTCTTCGGCAACCGCCAGTGCTTCGATCCCTACAGGAACCGGCTCTTCCCCTGTGGCCTCTGCTACGCCTACTGGCTCTGCTACGCCTACTAGCTCTGCTACCCCTTCCAGCTCTGCTGATCTGGGCCTCAGCATTGGTCTCAGCCTTGGTGACAAATCGACCTCTTCTGCAGCATCCTCTTCGGCTACCGCATCGTCCAAGGCCACTGACACCGGAATCATCATCAATCCCACTGGCGTGCTCTTCCCCTCCTCCACCAGTGTTACTGCCTCAGAGTCTGCCAGCGCCAGTGCCAGCAGCACTCCTGATAACAGCAGCGTCTCGGGCAACTCTACCGCCGCCGATGTCTCCGTCTCTCAGTCTCAGACCTCCTCTGGCTTACCAGTTCAGACGTCACTTTCCGGTACTGGTGCTTCGTCCACGTCAAAGGGCGGCCTTCTCCCCACCTTGTCGCTGCCCACGATTCTGCCTACCTTGTCTTTGCCAACGACTCTGCCAACCCTGTCTCTGCCAACGACTCTGCCACCCGTGATTCCCACTTCATCGCCCACGGCATCTGCATCGGATGTTGGCAACGCAACTTCCTCGGACGTTCCCCCCTCGACTTCCAGCTCCATCGGCCTGAGCATCTCGCTCCCTCTTACGCTCCCGCCAAGCTCCACAAGCTCAAGCGTAAGCTCCGATGTCCCGGTTGGCAACTCTACTAGCAGCGAGCCTCCTGTCACTAGCCCTCCCACGAGCATCCCCACCAGCGTTCCGGCCGGCACTACCAGTGCTCCCACCGGCTCTGTCACGGGCGTTCCTGTCAACACTACCAGCTCCGACGAGCCGACGAGCCCAGTCACCTCGCCTTCTGTCTCGGTCACTGGCTCATCTTCCTCTGCTGTTGAGACCGGCTCCGTTGCCAACTCTACCGCCGTTACGTCTGCTCCCGCTACGTCTGCTCCTGCGACCGAATCAACGGCCCCACCAACCAGCGTTGCACAAGCTACATCGACCCCTGCTTCTACTCTGGTCACCGTCTCGAAATCTTCAGCTCCGTCGGTCACTTCGCCACCTGTCCTGACAGTATCCTCGAGCGCCGAGCCCATTACTAGCATCAAGCCCACCGCTACCTTGACCAACACTGCTGACTGGCTGCCAACATCCATTGTGATTGAGCCCACCACAAATGCATGGACTTCCCCGGCCTCTACTCAATCCGTTTCCACTGCCACCGCGCTGCCAACCAATGTTCCCAAGATCATCTACCCTGATGACCCCAACACTCCTGTTCCCGAAGGTACTGAGCCCATCCAGATTGGATTCTTGTATCCTCTCAACTACATGTTTGTTGCCAGCAACACTGTCGCAGCTGCCCAGATCTTCAAGTACTTGCCGCAAGCTCTTGCCAACGCAGCTGGCATTGATGTCGAAAAGGTCCAGGTTGCCAAACTTATTCCTTACGATACCCGTGCTCAGTGGGGCTATGTGACTGCTCTGGCCGTCATCAACTACCCCCAGAACCTCATTGATAAGCTTCAGCTGGACATGTCGGTTGCCAACTCTGCCATCTACAACAACCCCGACTCCATTGTCCGCAGCTTGACTGGTCAAATCAACCCCAAGATTAGCATCTTTGGCCAGATCAATGATGCCGGTTCCGCTGGTGGCAGCTCTGGCTCCACCGGCGATGATGGCGGTGCTGCCCCTGCTGCTGGCTCTGGCAACGATGCCTTTGGCACTACCAGCACGGATAACCAGTCCTCGTCCCAAAAGGCCAAGACCGCTGGTATTGCCATCGGTTCCATCAGTCTTGCTTCCCTCTACGGCGGTGCCATGTTCATCATTGCCCGCCGCTACAAGCGCAAGAAGCAGTCTCACCGCCGCTCCAGCTCCATGAGCACCGACCAGCGCTCATCTGGCATGCAGTACACCGGTAACGGAAGCCCTGCCCTCATGGGTGGTGCCCTGATGAGCCGCGACATGAGCACTTATGGCGGCACCGGAGTTCGCGACAGCCACAACAGCGGAACGAGCTCTGCTCGAACTGCCAACATCTCCGCCCCCGTTGCCGCTGAGAACTCCCTTGGCTGGAACTGATGATGTACACGCTTTTATATCGGCCTCTATTCTTTTTACCTTTTAAAATTTATTTCGCCCTATTCTTAACATTTACTCTTTTTTTTCCCTTTTGGATATCCGTGCATCATATTTCCTTATTTTAAACTTCGATACCCTGGGGGGGCTTTTGCTCATGAGGATGCAGGACGATGTCTTAATGATTTTCTTGATGTCTTGCCAAGATGACTGGGGCTAGTTGCTTTACGCAATTGGCTCCGGCCAACTTGGCTCTCTTCCTCCTCTTGGGTAGTTTTAGTTCCAGCGCATAGTGAAATTTACTTCTTGTCCTCTTATTTTCACCTCCGCTGACTATCTCTTCCCTCCCCAATTTTACACTTTACGCCGACCACCACCACACAGACACACACAGACACCTCTTTTTACCAACAATAAAGAGAGAGGGGATGGCGCCGACCTAGTGATATTCTTTATTTCTTCTTCCGGCTCTCACATTCATCCTGGTGACACTTGGCAAATTTGTTATTTTTAATATTTCAATATTCTTAGCCTTTTGATCTGGAGTTGGAATGAGATAGATGGTTTTCTTGTGCACGGGAATACAATGTGCCTTTCAAAGGGCCAGCGTTGTCGTGTAACCCTGCTTGGAGCGAATATACTTTTTTTTATTTTTTTACACTTTGGTGAAGAGGAAAAAGAAAAGAGAGAAAGAGGTGGGATTATTTTGGAGGGAGGGCGGCGTCCCTTGAGAAAAATATTTCAAGAAAGTGTTGTGTGTTTCAGATTTTTTTGGAGGGAGTGGTTAAAGATGGCGAGTGGTTTTTTCTTGATAGAAAAAAAAAATTAACAGATGAAACTTGAAAAGCGAATTCTGTGTGAAATCTGAATCTGAATGGGAAGATGAGAGGGGGCGCGAGAGTGAGAGTGTCATGGTGTTTTGTGATAGATGACAGACAATAAATCGATTTTTTTTTTAAATTCATATATGATGCCGGTAATGATTTTTTTCTTTTTCACTTTTGGGATGTGAGTTTGTGAAGTGAAGTGAGTTAAAGTGGAGTGAAAGAAAGTTATCATGGCTTTTGCGATGGTCGTCTGAGAGGAAGCAGATCCAGTGCGTGATCTCTACGATGTCGAACGTAGGGACGCGCAAGGGGGGATCAAAAGGCTTGTCTTTCCTGCGATACGGGATCTATAGCTACTTATATAGATATGGTGGTCTATCTTTCCTTCCCTGGGGATGTCAGGGCAAGTGTCCCCCAATAGAGGTGAAGTAAAGTGGATTGTTAAGTGGTCATGTACCGTTGTGCGTTGAGGAGGGTTCTAGAGATGTTTTTGAATAGATGATGGACAATAAATTAATTTTTTGATTCATATATATTGTTGGGAATGATGTGTTTGTTTTCTATTTATAGTTTGTGAGATGGTGAAGCGAAGTGAGTTGTTGAGTTATCACGCACACAACCAAGAATATTTCGTTGAGCAATAAAGCGAAGCAGATTCGCAAGGGTGCTCAACTAGAGAAAATCACTTATAGCTTTTGCTTTATTAGTAAGACAAAACTAAGCTTAAAGACTGCGACTCCGACTGGTAATTAGCTGGGCGGGCAGGAAAACTAACCGTTTTCGTAAGGTGCATGTAGAATGTACCTCTTTCTGTGGTGTTCTGTTGTGTTTAGATAGGGACAATGTGTCAAGGATGCATGTTAGAGCTCCAGACATCAATTAAAACCGGGGTAGAGGCATTTATGCAGCAGAAATGTGATCCCGACTGTCATATATGAAATCAAGTGTGAGCCAGGGAGTAGAATATCTAATATCCTTTTGAAGTGTGCGATAATTCGGTTTACCCGCTTGTCTATTTTAATCTTTGGGTGTTGCAACAACCCTTGATACGCCCGTTAGGCTTCGGTGCTTGGGCTTATAGATATTGTAAAACTGAGAACGCAAAGACCGGCTGCTGTTGTTGGGTTAAGGCATAGCTGCTTGTGAGATCATTACGGTTGCTCCTGCTGCTGCTAAATTTGCTTTGCCTCGTAACTTTTTTTTATTTCTACTCCCTGCTTAATGACGACTCTACGACTGAAGCCGTTTGTTTATGGAGTTGTGCTTTGTGCCGGCGAGAACTTGAGATTAGCGTTGCTTTCTTTGAAAGAATTGCGTTATCTTTTCGTTTACGTAAAACGCAACAAATCCAACATTCTACGAGGGACAATGTATTAAGCACATGTCCTGGAGTTCCGGGATCCTATGATACTCGGGCCTGTGGCTGAGTAAATCAAGAAACAAACTGGTGGGTGCAGTGATGGAGAATGACGGACAGGGAAGGTCTGGGGCAGTGTGTCTGGGGCAGTGACGTGGTCTGCGATGGTGCGAGATGGTGCCATGAGGTCTGACGTATGATGTTTGTGATGCTTGAAATAGAAAATTCGTAGGGACCAGAAAAGAAATGAACAATAGCAAGGGGAGCTTCGGATTCATAAGCTGTTGAAGGAGAAGAGGAGTTGATTGATTGTATTGAGCGTGATATTTAGGGAACTCGAGTTCATTGCGGATCTCGGATCTCGCGTGTACTATTACGTACCCAAGGTCTGTTTACATAGATAAACTCTCATGAACGAGCCTCCTGATGTCGTTCTTTTCAACACAAGCAAATGATATGAAACGTATGCCTGGCCAATTTGAACATGTCATGAGAGCAGAAGACCAAGAGGCAAGGCAGCATCGGTGGCAGCACCAACACCAGCACCAGTCGTGATGACCTCTAACGCGGTTACAATGTCTTCTAATTCAATAATGGCAGCTGGATTTTGCATTCTCAATCTTGTAATGCGTGTAAGCCCGGCACCAAGGCACAATGGGTGTATTAGAGGCCGCGATTCTTGAAAACAGGGATATCGATTAACATAGGAAATGCTGAAAACGAAGGAGATGAAGAGTATCTCCAGCTTCAAATCCAACATTTAAGTATTTTTTTCCTTCTTATAAATTCTACTCCTTTGTTTACTGACAAATCTAAATACACCGGCTATATAACGGCCGAGATCGGGCTTCTACTACAAAAACGCCACAGACCCGATTCATGAATGCCCAAAACTCTAGGATGAATACTCAATACACACTGTCCCAAATACCACTAGATATATTGCGATGATGTTTTTGCCACTTTGTAAAAAAGTACAGGTCTCCTTTTAGTCACTTTCCAATAAAGGCAGTCTATTGCTATATAACGCTTTGATAAACCTTGGATACGCGCCGCACAAGAGGAAGTCTTTTTTCATTAGTTATTAAACGACAGAAAGTTGGATGTAGAAGAACGTGAATGTTGAAGGGGTATGAAAGCGTTGGAAGCAATGTACATGTAAGTTGCCTTCCTGCTTGCCTGCTTTCCCTCATGTAGGTGGCCACAATCAGACTACTTACCTATAGCGGTTTCAAACGATCCTGTTCATCTCGATTAAATAAGCTGACTGCGATCAAATTCGGTGGCTTCTTTTGAGCTGGGTGGCCTCAATGGGCGCGCGCAGTTTTGCTCACCACTACGAACCTTTGAGCGGGCATCACGGATTCTAACGGCGTCTACAAGAAACCTCCTCTGGCAACCTCTCTGGCCAGTCTTCTCATGCCCCTATAGGCTGACAAACGCGGCAAAAGTTTCATCCCCTATTACAAGCGAATGAATCATTACCAGAAAACGAGGGGGCGCGTGATGGTAGGCGTAGTGGTTGGCCGAAAGTCTACGGAGATGAGATTTTCTTCATTTCTGCATTTACACTAGAAAGTTTCATAGTTTTAAGCCTAAATCAGAAATTCCATGTCCACCTTGATTGCCACGCCCATCCGTTTGCTTTGAGTCAGAGAGACACACAACAATGAAGATAAACCACCAAGTTCCCCGTCTTCCTAGATACCCTTGCTATGAATAGTAACGTGGATATTATTACCAGCAGCGTGGGCCGTAGGATTTTGAGTTCCTACGTATGCTGCGGTAGTTCGCCGAGCGGATATTAGGCAGACTTATTTCCCGCCATGTTCCGACTGTTGGGCTGGTATTGAATCCTCCTGAAGAATCCTTCTGCCTATTTATACCCATGCGGCATGGAAAGATGATGCGAAAACACATCTCGCCTTTAGAATCGGCATTCGCTCATAAAATTACGCGGCGGCTTATGCCGTAGGATTCGGAGTTACGGTCTTTTGCAAGTAATCAATGGGATAGATCATAGTAGTTGGGCGAGTTGATAGAGTTATGGTTGTTAAAGTAGGTAGGGCACTAGTAGTAGATCAACATAGGTCTCAGGTGATAAACATTTTAACCTTTTTGCCGGTTTGTTCGGCATATTGTGTCCTATCGGCCAAGGAGGTTTCCAATGGCACAAAGTCCTATCTGCCATGGAACGCCCATCTCATAAATACTTTTTGATTTTCTTAATACGAGGTTCGGTTTTCTGTATTGTCCCCTATGCTTTTAGCCTCGTTAATTTGAGTTTACAATGTCACGACAAAGCAGCAAGGCGTGCGTAAACTGCAGGTCTCGTCGAATCAAAGTACGCCTCTGATAGCATTGCTTTTCCTCCAACCACGATTCAGATGTAGATGAGCAAAGACATTCTTTTGCTAATTAGTTCCTACGCGGATAGTGCAACGAATCGAAGCCACGATGTGCACAGTGCGCGAGAGCGGGCTTGTTTTGCTGGGGATATAGGAGCGAGATGGAGATGAAGTTTGTTGATGTGACGGCGAGGACGACGCAGGGGGCGAGATCAGCGAGAAAGAAGTTGAAGGATACTTCGGAGCGTAGTCTATCGCACTCCTATTCATCATCAGATTCTTCTTCTTCGTCCTCGTCATCGCAACCGGGCCTCACAAACGCCGTCTTGCGACGAAAACAGCAGCAGCAGCAGGAACTGCTACCTTTTCCGACATTCAACTTCTCCATCCCCCCCGAGTCGGTCGCCCAGGTCTTCTTTTTCCGGCACTATTCCATTACGGGATCGATCCGGCATTACGAAATGCAAAAGGACTCTGCAATGTCGGCGCTTAAGATGATGGGCATTGTGGCTGTGGGCATGGCCGGGCTGGCGATATCCAAGCAAGACCCGGATATCATGGCGCTAGCGAGGAGAAAGTATGGATCGACGCTGCTCTCGATTAATGAGGCGATCAAAACTCGCGAGGAGGTGGCCAAAGAGAGTACGGTGGCGGCGGTGACGCTGCTGGCCAGATTTGAGGTATGTTACTGACAATGTGGACGCTTGGGCTTGATTCTTCTTTGAAGCTCACTCATGATATTTCTTCAGATTATTGCTTGTCAGGATAGTTCTACGCAAGAGGCCTGGATCTGCCATTTACAAGGCGCTGCGATCATGCTGCGCCATTGGACCAAGGATGACTGGGACAGGGTCACGAACCCACAAACTCCACGAACCTTTCTTCACTTTTTCTTCATGATGGTATGAACTCACTCACCCCCCACGCAGCGCCAACGCCGTAGCAGCTCCATCTAAACATTTCTTTTTTTCTTACAGGCCATGGGCTCGATCATTAAACGGATGCCTGCCCCTGCCCACATTCGCCAGATTGTACAGTCATCTCCTCTTTTCAAAGCTGAAGCCGAAATGGAACCAGCGACTCGCCTCTTCGACATTGTATGTAAACTGGCAGACCTGCACTCTTCAAGTAATGAAGCACCCGGGGTTAACCACCTTGCTGAGAAAATCTCGGCCGCCATGAGCATCGAAAAGGAGCTGCTCGCTTGGAAATCACACCTCCCCGAGCGGTGGAAGTATTCCTCCGGCGAGAACAAGCTTGACAAAGCCTATGGATCCCCTTGCCACGTCTATGCATGCCCCTGGCAGTCTTACATCTGGAACCACTATCGCATTTGCCGACGTACTACCCACGCCGCGCTCTTACACTACCTGGAGACTCTCGCGTTACCCGTCACTCAGGCGCATCCCGCGCTTATTGACGCGTGTGCCTCGCAGCAGGAGGCTTCACGCGAGATCCAAGCGGCTATGATGCGTGAATTACGCGCGAGTATGCCCTACATTTTAGATTTTTACGATAAATCAAAGGGCAATAGCAGGCTGTTTCCGCAACACTCGGGGGTGTTTGGTCTGCTTGCCTCTATCCAGGCCATGATGGGAGTGGCAGATATCTGTGAAGAGGATGCGGAGTGGTTGTGTGTCATGTGTAGGTATATAGCGAGTCGGTTGGGCATTGGGCTAGCTATGGTGATGGAGAGGTGTCTTCAGGGGTAGAGCTAACGTGGGTTAGCAACGCTTTTTTCTCTAGTGTTTTCTTCTTATTCAACCAGATACTCGACTAACCATTAGCTAAAAGTAGTTTCATTTGTATGACACTCCTTGTATCTTGTTCATTTCGTAGAGGTTGCTTTCTGACTCGGTAAAAAGGCGATTTACCATCCATAGTGTGGACGATCCTCCCATCATGAATAGAAAGTCTCGCCAAACGTAAATGACTCATCAGGTTGCATCTTGAGCGGGCGCTCTGAATCCTGAGTAGTCGCCAGGAGGTCGGCTATGCTTCGAATCAGGAGATCGACGCAGGCGTCTAGAGGAGTGAGAGTGGCGCAGGTATACACGGCAAGTCCCGCAAGCAACTCTCGCGGTCAGTCTCGCGACAAACCTCGCCTAAATCCTGGCGTAAGGTCTCGCGGCAAGTCTCGCGGCAAGTTCCGCGAAATTTTGCGACTTTCAGGAGGAATGTGATGATGCTGGATTGATGATTTCCTCTTGGTAATTCAATGTAGATGTTTGCCAAGTCGATTACCTATGAAAACTTTCAAATGGCGTTATGGGCCAAGGCACCTGAAGTAATGGGTGTATGATACTCTTATAGTGCTTTTGCTATTCCTCGTCATTGAACGTGTGGTTCTTGAGTTGCATGAGATCAAGCAGAGAACTCTCTCTTCGGTGGCCATGTTTTAGGATACTGGTAAGCGGAACTGAGTCAAGCGACCAGAGCGAATGAATCGAAATCTTTTGGGGAAAATCATGTTCTAATGTGCGAGGATGTGCAAGAAAAATAAGAAGACAAGACAGTCTCTTTATACCTGACACCAATAACCTTGTTTTACTTGAACACGCATCACTATCAGGAAGCAGCTGAATCCAATGATGCAGCTAGAGTAAAGGTTCCTATTTCTAATCAATTCGGATCTTTCCGTTTCAGTCTCTCTCAACTTGTGCAGATTTCCAACCTGATATTCACTTTTGGACAAATGCATACCAGTTCTTGCACTATTCAATGAGCTGTCTTCCACTTTCAAGCCATCTTCGAGTCATTGCAGCGACTTGGGCTGGGAGGCGCTAAAAGACGACGTGCATCGCTGCTCTGAGAATCATGGACTAATAGCCTCGGTTAGGAGCTGCGTTGTCGGATTTATAAGACGTAACTCATATATCATAGTAATAACGAAAAGTTTTCATATTTTCCTTGTAAAATTATAAGTTTTCTGTGTTTTTGGTAATACGGAAATATTTCATACATGGATTGATAGCCGCGGTTAGGGGCTGCGTTGTCGGATTCGTAACACGTACTTAATAATCCGTAGTAATAACGAAAAGTTTGGTATTTTTCTTATAAAAATATGGTTTTCTTTGTTTTTACGCAATGAAAACATTTCATGTTCATACTCATTTTCATCTTTCAAGTTTTCGTAATTCTGTATTATGAGAGACTACAGGGGAGAAAAATACAGAATTACGAAACGAGAATACGAAAACATGAATTACGTATTACGAGTATGAATATGAATCCGAATCCGAATATGAATGTTTTTCGTATTACCAAAGAAGAAGAAAATTCATATTCGTAGCCCAACTACGAAATACAAAGGACTTTCGCAGTAGTATTAGTATTCGTTACGAGTTGTGACTCTAGCATACGCTGGAAAGAAAACCGCTGGCTTGCCACTATAATCTGTGTGTAACGTGCAGCGGTGTATTCTTTCCACCCCTTGTCTGACCAGGAGCTTACTTTGCTTATAGTATAGCATCTAGTATTGCTTAACCTATTACAAAGGCTTTAGATGAATAGACCAAAGTCGAGCGAGTCCCTTCTAAGAGAAGACGAATTACAATATATGTGATAACGCGGCTATTTATGGCCTTCTTATCGGGCAGCTCACATGATTTAGTTTAGCTGTGTTCTTGAACTCAATGTTTTTTTCTATAAAGCGGCTGCCTCTCACCATATTCTTCATGGACTGTTCATCAGGTATTCAAGTGTAAATAAATGGTATTCAGAGAAGTAGCACTTTTTTCTGAGGATCTAGGATCTCTATACACACAACCTAGCCTGTATAAACGCGTGCAAACATTACAAGAAGCCAAGGCCCTTGAAGATAACCGCGCCTGCCGCCTCCCTCGACTACATCAATTTAAACAACACCAAATTCACCAGCCCAAGCCGTCGCATTGCCTTTTGCTTCAACAACAGCAACCGGCCTTTAAGTGTTTACTCTACGTAATACATATGAGCCCGGCATAGAAATGCAAAAGTCGTGTGAACGCACAAGGCAGCGGCTCATAGAAAACTCCCGGGTGCACATTGTGACAGCAGATTTCCACCCTTGGAGAGGAAGTAGGAAATATAGGCAGTTATAGTCTTCATTTTTATAGAGCTTGGATTCCTTTTCTTGTAGCTTATTTGCACCAGAACGCCGAGATCAATGTTCTGCCGATCTAAGCCACATGTCCCACTTCTCTGAACATCGCTTACTCATACTCGATACCGGATACAGTCCCAGTCTTCCATTGTCTGATCTCTTTCAAGTGTCATTAGAACAAGTCATTGTAGAGATACAATTCTGAAGCTAGATAATAACCAGTCGCTGGGAATAACAAGTTATCATAGCGTATCCAATCGTAGCTGATCAACGATTCACTTCGTCGTAGCGCTTTACGCGCCGAAAGTGTTAGAGGTGTAGTGCAAAAATGGAGAATGGATATTCGCGATTATTTATGCGCCCTCATTTTCGCTTGCTCCAGCATCAAACACATTTCAAATTTTTGGATTTGGTATAATATTCTCTCTTTGGTTTTCTTATATAACGAAATCGCCGCTTGTCCAGAGTGTGATTAATAAGACCGGTATGACAAAGCGCCAGCCTATGGCAGCTACAGTTATGGGCCAAAAGTCTGCGAACGCTATACTAAGTACCACCAAAAGGCACAGTCTTCAAAATTTAATAATTAAATCCACGAAATACATATGCAGGTGATTAAGGTCAAAATTTAATAATAATTGATGAATATTTGTTATTTTAATAGTACTTACTTATAATGTTTACTATAATATTTAATATTATAGCAGCTATTATGGATTAAAGCTGTAATAGATTATCCCCTCCTAAACTTGGTGTATCTTTATTTTTTTCCGTTCGCAGACTTTTGTCCCCTGACTATATGTAACAAACCATACACTAGATAGTTAGTATAAGGTAGATTCCCAAGGGATAAACCTAGTAAATAATTCTAGGTTTATATTAGCAAAGCGGTTAAGAAACCTAATAGGCAATATAAGCAATAGTAAATAATATTACCAGATAATAAAAGTGTAAAGCATATTATAATCTTAATTCTATATTAACAACTAGCTATTTAAGTTATTTAAATAAGCATAGAGAAGTAAACTTATATATCTAGTTAATCTAGGCGGGATCTATAAAAGATTATTAAATCTATAGTTAAATCTAAAGGAATTCTCTAAATCCTTTAGGGATCTAGGAAATATTACTAAATCTAGTTTTTATTAATTAGGTTAATCCTTAGTTAATCTAAAGCAACTTACCTAGGGCCCCTATAGTTATAACCATAAAGGTTAGGTTATAATATAATATCCCCCTCCTATTAATCTTATCCTTAAGACCTTATTTTATCCAGGGTATATAAATACCCACCTTTTATTTTTAATTCCTATAAGTAATTTCTTTTTCTTCCTTATCTTATTACAGTTACTAATTATAACAAGTATTTAAAAAAAATAATATTACCCTAAGACTAAGTATTATAATATTCTATTAAAAGTAATTCTATTTTATCTTATTATAATAATATACTACACTTATTATCTTAATAAAAAAAAAAAAAACTTCTCTAAATATTAAATATCTAAAACTAATTCTTTTTAGTATACTAAATATATAATTAATAATTAACTATAATATAATACACATCCTTTAACACCTTAGTAACTTTAGTATATTACTTTACTTTATGCTTATTTAAAGAATACCCTTAAGGCAGCAGAGGAAAAGCATTAAGTAATAAATATTAAAATTATATGTTTTTATAAGAAAAAGCAGTAGTAAATAAAGAAAATAGCTTATGCTATTACACAAGGGATTAATAATTTAAAGGAGTTAAATTAGGTTAAGCGCAAGAAGGCGAAGGTTATTTATTAAGCTACCTTACTAGCGCCTAATTCTAAGGCCAGCCCATCTTATTCCATTAATACTATTAATTAATCCAAGTTTAAATTAGACCTATTATTATTTCCACCCCTAAAAACTAATAAAATTCCCATAGGATTATCTAGGTGTTTCTCTTAAGTTCTTATTCTAGGACTTATAAGTTTTTATTATTATTATATTCTTTCCATTTAGTAAAGTACTCTCTTTCTCCTATTATTTTATTTATTTATATGCAAGTTAATTTTTTAATTTTATATTCTTCCTTAATATCTTAAATAACAATTTTATTTATAATTAGCTTACCTATCTCTTTATCTACTAATGCTTTTTTAAGTAGTAATATATAAAAGACAGCTATTTTAAGCTGCATATTATTAAGTAAATCTAATTTATAATTAACTTTACTAATTTTCTTTAAAATCCTAAAAAATCTAAGTTTTCTAAAGTTTAATTTATTACTTAGCCTATTTATTCTAATATTTAATAATTTTTTATTATATAAATATTATAATAAGTAAATTATATTTCCCTTTTAAAGGGTTAATCCCTTAATCCTTATATAATCTGCATATTTTTTTAAGCATTATCTAAAGAATTTAAGTTAAACTTTAAGTTCTTCCTATAATTAAATTATATCTTCTACAAGAATATATATATTATTTACATTTAATTTATTATAAGGTAGTCTATAAGCTTTTAATATAAACCTATAGTTAATATAAAATAATATAACTCTTATAATTTCTATTATAAAGCTATTATATTATATTTATATAATTAATAGTATCTTAACCTAGTTATTTTACTAAAGATTAATATAATATTATAAGTATACTTTAATAACTTAATTTATTTATTTTATTTATTTATTTATTTATAAGTAAAACATAATACTTAGTTTATAATAAGTTCCAAGTTTTACTATTAATTCTTATTAAAATTTAAATATAAAAGTACTTCCTTTATCTAATATAATTTCTTTTAGCATTTTATATTTAGCAAATATATATCTTATATAAAAATGCACTAGGTTCTCTACTATATACACTTTCTTATATAATAAAAAGTATATTTACTTTAAGAGTTTATCTATAATAATAAAAATACTATTAAAGTATTTTTTTATTAATAAATCTCTTAACTTAAGCAAGTTAATAATATAGTTAAATATAATAATATACTAATTCCTT